TGGCGGTCTTGTCAAGGAGTGGAAGGGACACCGGGGCGATGGAGAGGGTGGTGGTGTGCTTGGCTTCGTGCAGGGTGAGACTGGAGAGAGGGTTGTCACTGCTGGTGATGATGGTGTCGTTCTGGTATTTGAGGCTTGAGGATTTAGACACATCTCTGAGGCCTTGAGAGGCGAGGGAGGATTTGCGTTTGCTTTTTACCATGTTGGAATTTGGGAATGACGATGAGCTTGGGAGGAGGGGCATAGATAAAATAGGGACATCATGCGCCTTTTGCGCTGGTATGATATGGACTCGTGGACTATTCCACGTCCCCCTCATGAATTGGAGTTTCGCATTACTGATACATTGATGTGGCTGTCCTGATGCAATCCTTTGATGTCTGCTACGTGACTACCTATCTCTGCTTTCTAATGTGTTGTCTGCGATTGACATGTGGTAATTGACAGGGTGAGACATGAAAGCTTCGTTCGTCTCAAATTTGCCAAGCTTAATCAAGCTGCCCATCTCCATCGCTAGTTGTTTATTGTCATCTCCAACACTCGCTCCAACCTAATCTACGAAGAAGTCACCACTCTCATCTACAAATTTGCACTTGCCGATCACGGAACGGACGGCGACGCTGCCCGTCAGAATTTATGGCCGACAGAACAGCCACCAGTATGATGATCTCACTGAGAAGCGATCAGCTACTCGTCCTCATTCTGATGGTGTTCGGTATCCGGGAATTTCCGCGGATTTGCCTTGTGCTAGCAGGGTCGTGGTTATCATGGGATATGATCATTTCGTGTGAGTAACCAGTTACCGGCACCGCTTTTCAATGCAAGACGGCGATGTTTGATCGGATGGATGATCCTAAGAGTCTTTGTTTAGTGTACGCGATACTTGGTATCTTCCCTTTTCTCAATGAGATCGCAGCACCTCTTCTCAGAAACCTAGTACCGGAATTGAGAGCGCTATAATAGATGGTAATATTTGGCCTTCACGTAGGCATATACCTGAAGAGATGAACGGCAGCATATTTACTAATGTTCATCGTGGTGTTCAGTCATCACATACACATGAACAGAGTACAATGCGGACCAAATGCATAGTAGACGCAAGCAGGGAACCCTTTGAAAGAATTCATTCTCATTAAGACTACCTCGTCGTAGTCGTCACCAAATGACATCATCTATGTGCAGTATGACCATATTTCGGTAACAGATTATCATCCCCTCTCTTCATCTTCATCCTTTAGCTCATTCATTCCGCGACGTTTAGTTGGATCGTCCGCCCTGTCCAGCACCCTCTCCCTTAGGAAATGAGCCACCGCTGGCGGCAAGACCATCAATGGCGAGACCCTTTTCAGGCTCAGGGAGAGGCGCAGTCTTGTCGGCGCGGTCGACGTGGGGGTCCTGATGAATGAAGTGATCAGTCGTTACTCTTGGAGGGGCTGATAACTAGGAGTGTGTCGTCTTACCTTGACGGCGCCAGCGCCGTGGATAACGTCGTGGGTCTCCTCGACCTTGTTGTCGGAGGCTCCAGATCCGTCGCGAGGCATGGTGATGCTTGGTGGTTGTTGAGGAATTGACTGAAATGATAATGGTTTGACCTTGGGACAAAACTTGTTGCAGGATGGTTGATAGTAAGTGATATCAGTGCAGATTTTGATGAAGTGCAAAAACAATCTGTCAATGATGAAAGGGGGTTGGAAGATCTTATATACAGAAGCATGAGGTCTGAACTCGAGTTGACGTCATGTGAGTTCGCACCTTGGCTTCTGCCTCAAACCTCCCCAAAGAGGGGTGAAGCTCCAGGTCCTTGAGCTCTTTGAGGCTTTGAAGCTTGAGGATTTGAGGCGTAAAACGTCATGATGTGGGGGAATGATGGTACTCCCGGACGGCGCTAAGGTCCCCAAGGTACTAGATCGCAGATCTCCGTCCGATTTGCTTCCCGCTCCCTGCCTGCCTCCAACGTCGGAGTAAAATCTCCGTGTATAGGCCATGTGCAGTGGAGAGGTGGACCTTGCCAACTATGGCACAACTATGTCTGTTTATTCAATGGAATGGAGATATTGTGAGCTTGTGCCGGCGAATGGTCAAAATCATGATTTGGGGTTGTTGTTCAACTGGGCGCCGTTTGCCAGCTACCGACGGTACCCAAGTGTCTTAGGTTAGCAAAGCACGATTAGGTAGTAGTACATAAGGCACCGAGGGGTCGGCGGTGCATCCCGCTCCCTTTTCGTAATAGCGGCTTTCCCCCAATGTCATCAACTACGACTTCACCTCTCGTCCTCACCATTTCCTCCGTCGGCCGTGTTCCTCTAGGGCATGAACTCCACGTTCCGAAACTTGATCCAGGCACAGCGAAGGAAGTGTTCAGTCGAAATAAGCTTGTTCTGTTTCTCTTCCTTTTTTGTTCGCTTCTTCCAGCAAATGTTCAGGCGCCCTATAGACCGTTGCGCCTAGCAGACAACGATCACCAAGATGGCACGTCTTCGGTCAACATGAATGACATTTCGTCATGATAGACTCTCGATTCTTCTTCTGCAAACGTGCTCAATCTCTACGAGGCTTGAGAAGGACTGTATATAAAGACTCCCATAGCACAGAGGTATGCCACACCAATATCAGTCTAGAGCGACCGACTATTGACCGTGCATAACTGCCCATAGTGCCGGCCTGGGATGGAGTCTCTCATGCGGTGCAACGTTTGTTCCGATTGCCCCTGTGCGAGCCGAAAAGTTTGAGCGAAAACGAAGGCACGGATGCAACGCCGAGACCCCCTTTTTCTTTTCATTCAACATGGCTCCATCCCCAGTCCACGAGTCACGACACTCGAGGAGACCCTCCACCGTGGGCAGATGCCGAGGAACTTGAGGACTGCCGTCCACCAAACGCATTCATCTCATGGACTCGTTCGACAATATCGTGGAGCTCTCCACAAGTACAATTGAGTCTTCACGACGGCGCCGGCGATATCGCTACTTTGGGACATTGACTTGAAATCGTTAAACATGACGCATTTTATTTCTATCTAAACCCAATCACCATACGAGCTCAAGCTTAGCTGCTGCTAGTAGCAATGAGTTGCGACAGACCCAGGACCTGGGCGGTGGTAATCACATCGGCAGAGGTGTTCCACCCCTCGTTGAACGGAAGACGCTCCTCCTCAAAGACGACCTTCAACCACTCGACCGGCGCAGCAGGCGCGGTGTAGCTCTGTCCAATGGTGCCGAGGATAACGGCCGACTCGCCCAGAGAGACGGTGACCTGGCTGGTCGTCAAGTTGAAGGACGGGTTCGTCGCCTTTGCGGTGGCGATGCGCTTGCTGCGCGCGGAAGCCATGGTCGCGACGCCGACCTTGTTGTCGGAGGCGGCGGCACCGGACTCGAGGTAGCCCTTGGTCTCGGCCCAGACCGTCGTGTTGAAGGTCTTCGCGTCGCCCGTCACAGCGAAGTCGGCGCGGGAGAGACTGCCGTCGTGCTCGATGACGTTGTGCTTGGCGATGTCGTCCAGGTTGAAGGTGCTCGCGTTGCCGGTGGTGGAGGTGGCAAAGGCGGGCGTGCCGAGGGTGCGGACGAGGGACTCGTTGAAGTGCAGAGCGGAGCCGAGGCCGGCGATGAGGTCCTGCATGGAGATGGACTTGCCGTCGCGGGCGAGGTAGCCGTGGTTGGCGAGGGAGTTGAGCATCGGGCAGGGACCGCGGACGGCGCCGCCGGCAACGTCGGGGGCGAGCCAGGGGTGGGCTGCGGGAGCGGCGTCGCGGGGGACGGCGGCACCGGTGACGGACATGGCGCAGGTTGCGGCGAGGACTGCTGAGGCGCGCATCTTGTATGAGTCTTTTGAGAGGATATGGGGTTCTTGAGAAACAAAGAGCGTTGGGAAGTTTTGGGATTTCGCGAGCTTCTGGAAAGACAGTGACGGCCCTTACAAGTGTGCCTTTGGTGTTGTGTAAAACGAAGGTGGTCCGGTGAGAGGATGAGCGAGGATACTGCAGGAAGGAGACAAGATCACGAGGAGAGACCGTCGACGAAAGCTGCTTTATACAGTTGTTCAAAACCTGGGGGGCTACGATTAAGGAGGGGCCTATAAACAGATACACGACGCATAGGGCTGGGCCATCCGAGTTAAGACTGGGGGATTCTCCTTTAAGTTGTCAACCCCGGGCGGCGGCGCCGTCGACGCGGCGAATCCGATAAAGTCCACGCCTTCCACGGTACTCATCGAACTGTGCCCAGGCACCTTTCTTGCTTTCCTTCTCTTCTAGAAGCAGCGGAATGATAGCCGTGCCTCGGCAGTAAGGTCAAACCCTGACCAGTAGCCGCCGCAGTGACGGAGCTACTATGATCTGTCATTATAAAATGGGCTGCTTATACGTTCATCCCTTGTTCGGTGAGCCCACTGGGGAGTCTTATTTGAAGTTATACTCCGTTATACCGCGCTTTGCTTACCTTTTCATGACGTGTTATTGGACGGGGAGTTGAGTGAGCCGAGGTGAGCCCCTTTTAAACATTCTAATTGAGTTTGAAAAAGAATGGAAACCCGGGTGAAAAATACGACTTTGACGTGCTTGGCGGGGACGTTTGTGGGCGGCCTTGGGTGGCCGTGTCGGGATGGCCCATGAGATGTAATATGGAGAGCTCCGAGAGAGCAGCAACTTTCAATGCGGGACGAAACTTGGTGCAAGGGGGCGGGAGATGTACGGCTGGGGTTAGGGACCGTTTTAGATAGCTTTATAGACAACTTCAACCCCCAAAAATTCAACAACCAATAAACAGTCGCCTTGTTGGCTAAGTGGTATAGCGTCTCACTAGTATTAGTGACATGAGAAGATCGGCGGTTCGATTCCGCCACGAGGCAGTCACAGCTCGCGAAGCTTCGCTTTTGAACTTTTTGGCTCTTGAAGATGATTGTCATGTAGGTATTCAGCCCGAGATGCAAACTCCATATACAATGCCGTTGTCTACATGCGCTCTGTCCCTCCGTCGGCGTAACGAACCTCCATGCTCATTTCATGCTCATTTCATGGCACCACAGCTCCCGCATCCACCCTCCCCTCCACATCCACCACCACAACCGCCTCCACACCCAGCATCCTCCTGGCAAGCAGCAGGGAGATACTCCTCGTCAAACGCCTCCCTCCAAAGCGCCCTCATATCCGTCGACAGCACCGCCAGACTCTCGTCGGGGATCTCGTCATCGTGGTCCACCAGCTTCCCCGTCATCCGCTTCGAGTAGGCCATGTACCGCGCCGGCGCGAGCTGGTGCGTGTGCCAGACGAGGTCAATGTCGAGAGTCGGCACCATGACGGTGCCCGGGTGCGCGGCGATGAGGTGGAAGAATTGCGCGTAGCGGGTTTGCGCCGCGGTCAGCAGGTCTGCGGGGCTTGAGCTGTGGAGCCAGGCGTGGGAGGACATTTTGAGGGAGAAGGAGAATTGGCGGTTGATTGCTGCAGTGAGAGGGTATGTGAAGAGGGTTGTTCCTGTTTGGGAGGTGTGGGCAAAGGTGCCGGTCTGGGAGGCTGGTGGTGAGAGGAGGGAAGGGAGGTCGATTGAGGCGATGAGAGATTCGAGGTTTGACGATCTCGACTGTGAACGGTTAGCAAACTTTGCCGACATAGTTGCGCCTTTCTCTTCTACTAGGGGCATAAGAGTTCAGTGCGAGTGTACAGTGGAACTTACAACTTCGGACCAGTTAATCCCATCCAGACCCAGACGGCCGCCGAGCTCGATGAAGCGTGCGTAGGCCTTCGGGTGCAGCATCAGCGCGTGCCACGCCATGAGCACGTCAACGGGCGGCATCTGCTCCGCCGGCCTCTCGGCGCTAGTAGTCCATTGCTCGAAACGGGCGACGGCGCGGTCGCAGTACAGGTCCCATACGCGCTCGGGTACTTGGCCCGCGTCGGCAGCGAGCAGGTGGACTGCGTCGCGGAGTGTGACGAAGGTCTCGAGGAGTTCGAGATGGGCGGCACAGTCTGCGGTTGAGGGGACGGGGTTGGTTGTGGCGGTAAGTTGTGTTGTTGCGAGCTTTGATTGTTGCTGGTGCTCGACTGACGGGGCTCTAGAGTCATTGTAAGCATAGGTTATCCCTTCAATTCTACTGAGGGCGAACCAACAGGTTAGAGAGAATGGCCGGCATTTTGGCGATGATTTACAGGATCCGGTCCTTATTGGTTTGGTGTTATTGAATATGAGGGTATCTTGAGTTCTGTGCGCTTTCTCAACTGACTCGACAGCTCAACTTTGATAGAATGGACGCAAGAGACAAGTAGGAAGAATACGAAGCTACAAGTCGACCTTATTCAGCTCTTCAATCCAAAGGGGATTGTCACGCCTCTTATCAGGACAGCAGAAGCCCATTCGAATGAGCAGGGGTGAGCTTTATCTCGCTGCACCGTCGCACATGACAAGCAGCAGCCCTGTGACCGCTGCCACCGAGTCCCAAAACGGCATGGAGGTGAGCAGGTTTCAGGACGCCAGCGCAAGACGGATCGCTGTGCCATCTTGTGCCATCTGACAACGGTAAGATGTGATTGGTGAAGTGGCCATAGGGTCCACGGATAGGCGTAACGGGCGACTCAGGCGGCTGGGCCGGGAACGCGGGGTGGTCCACGGTTGGCGGTGGGGGGAAGCATTGAGAAGATGGGAAACTTGCGCATGTCCACCAGCGAGACGGGGTTGTTTCTCGTCTGTTGCGGTAAAGTCGGTGACCCGGCCCCGCTAACAGAATCCCACCGGGGTACGGCGCTGGATGCGTTCCGACCTGTTGGAGCCTTGGAGAGACTGGACGAAGAGAAGAGACGCAGTTACTTCGAGACTGTGGAATTCTTAGGTTCGGTCTGTGTTCTGTTAGCGGCGGTTTTAATCCAGGCGGGTGTGGGAGGCTGAGATTTCATTCTGGGAGTTGGGGAAGTGGCTGGATTTCACTTGTGATTCTTCAGCTTCACTCAACATACACGTACACTCACTCTCACTCATCTTACCTCCCGTCATGAGTGAGAGGCTGATGCAACCAAGTCACCTCAAGAGACTATCGAACACTACCATCACGCCTACCTATTCCTTTCTCATAGCTCTTACATGAAACCAGTTTTATCCACGAGCCGCCCAGATCCCAATCAGGACAGGCACGACGCGTTGGTTTCACAAGCAAACACTCATCTTCAGCCTCCACTGACAAACTCACCCATGAGAGAGGAGGCCACAGCCTGGCTCGTACACCCTCTCATTCAAACTCACGGAATACCCTCCTCCATCAATCACCTTCACTTGTCTCCATTGAAGTAGCTGTAGAAATCATCGCTGATAAGCTTCTCTAGCGTCGGTTTCTCCCAAATGAGCTAACTTACCTGCCGAGTGGAGGCCGTCAGCTCAAAACTATGTGCCTATAAGCAAGTAGGCTCTGGCTCCCTGCACCTTTTGTGCATATCTCACGGTCCAGAATCTCATTGGGGGCCAAGCTCACTCATCCTACGCCGTAGGCAAATGAGGGCCGCGATCGCATCACCACCTTGGTCCAACGACCAACGCCAGCCCAATGGTACAGAGCCCACGTTGCTGACAACAGTCTGATTCGATCGCCGGTCAGGCCGGCCGAGACTGGCATATTGAGGCTTGGAAACCATCGACTTTGTGCTGTTACCTCTGCCTCCGAGGGACCGTGTCTGTGTCCCCCTTCCCAACCCGTCCTGTTTGCTGTTTGTCCGACGAGGGTTCTAGATCTTATGGTTTGTACCATGCTGTGTCTCTGTCAATCGTCTCTTTACGGGCCCCCAGTCCGAGGTGAGCCTCACCCAATTCCTGCATGTCTTCACGTAGATCCAATCAATCTTCCCCGTTGGAGGATGAACGCCTCCTGCTTTCCCAATTCAGCATTTCATCTCGAAACCTGTTGGTACTAACAGGACATGGGGTGTGGTCTGCAATACTTCTCTTTGATTGCTGCTGTGCGGCGTAGAATGAAGCGAAGCCCAACCCCCCCAGTTCCCCCGTTCTCTTTCTTCGCCGTGTTCCTGCAAATACCCGTCCATACCCCGTCGGCCGGCTGGCCGCATTTCTGGCCTTCTTCGTCATATCGTTCTTCGCGTGCCTTTGAGACACTATCATTATGAAAGTCCCGTGGCTTGCGTTGCTTTTCGTAGTTGCTCTGGGGCCTGTCCTCGGTCAGCTGAATGTTAGACAGGTCGCGAGCAGCGCCAGCTCTTCCGAAAGTCTCCTTTCCTCTACTACATCATCCGTGTTCTCCGCTCCGACGTCCGTTCCGGCGCCGACTATCAACAGTAGCGTGTATGACCTTTCGCAGCATTTTTGCCGCATCTGGAGACATGCAAGTGAGTCTAGCCCCCTCTTACTTTACTATCTTATGGTCAAGTCTAACCTGACCGGCTGTAGGTGTCTTGGCCGATGGAAAAGTTTACGTCGATGGCGGCAACACGTACGTGCCGAAGAACAATAACACATTCTATAACACAGAAGCCGGCCAATATGACGCGGGAATGCGTGAGCATACTACCATCAGAGCCCTATGCCTTGCCGTCCTAACACACCCCAGATACTCAACTCCTCGTCCTAGACCTCTCACAAAACTTCACAAACCAGGAAACCAGCCCGTACTCATCCATATTCAAGAGCCCCGATGTCCCCAACGGCCTCATCGAACACGCGCTATGGTACTCCCAAACCACCCGCAAGATCTATCAGCTCGGAGGGTGGTTCTCCTTCAACAGCCCCAACAACCCATCCTTCATTGCCGACCCGAATATACCCGAGCCGGCCATCTGGGAATTTGACGTCGACGGCGGGCGATGGTCCAAGTCGATCAACTTTGATGTGGCAAATAATGGCGAGATTGTGGACAGGCCTGGCGCTGCTGCCTTTTGCGACGCGCCGACATTGAATAGGAGTTACATCTTTGAGGGATACGTGCAGAGGAGATCTAGTCCTGCGAACGCTGCGTATACGGCTTCAGCTGACTTTCGGTGTAAGTTTTTTTCTTTTTTTTCTTATGCCCTACTTCCTCTATCTCAGCAGCGAGAAAGAATCGAGGCCTGACATCTTGCAGTCCTCGAAGGCATGCTCGAGCTTGATACCGCAGAGCGCTCTCAGCCGAAGCTCACCAACATTTCTGTCCCGACATACGTCGGCCCGCGCATGAACGGCGCAATGGTTCACGTGCCCGTTGGCGAAAAGGGGATCATTGTCAATATTGGCGGCCAGACCACGCGAGACCCAACGCCTTTCGGTATTCGCATCGAGGGTGCCAACGCAGAAAACGTCAATGCAAGTTCCCTTCAACCCCTAGGCAGCTCCCCTTAATTAACACGCCCCCAAAAGACAAACCTCTCCTTCGTAGACATCTATGACATCGAAACAGGCTTCTGGTTCCGCCAAGAAACCTTTGGCCTCCCCGACATACCAACAGGCCGCTCCGACATCTGCACCGTCCTCGTCCCCGCCGCCGACAAATCCTCCTGGAACATCTACATGATCGCCGGCGTCGAGAACTACGCGACCTACATCACCTCGGAAGACATCTGGGTCCTCACCCTCCCGACTTTCACCTGGATCCTCGTCCACACCCGCGCCGACGGCATGTACGGCCACACCTGCCACGCCGTCGGCGAGAACCTGCTCATCGTGGGCGGCATGCAGACCAAGAACGACGGGGGGATGCAGAATGTGAATACCTGCGCCGAACACATGCCCGTTGAGATCTTTTCGCTCGCGAGCCAAAATTATACGGGCCGATATGATACCGAAGCTGCGAAGCGTCTTGCGCCCGTGCCGTCGCAGGTTGTCGCTGCCGTGGGCGGGACGTCGTCGGGTGGTGCGAGTCAGAAGGCACCGAGAGCGTGGAGTGATGTCTATTTGCAGTACATCTTTGATCCGTCGCTGAGGAGACCGGCGTATACGCCCGAGTATACTCTCGTTGTAGAGCCCAGCAGCACGGTATCGCCGTCTTCATCTGCTTCATCGACTACCCAGCCGGATTCTGGTGGTCCATCAAAGGGTGCTATCGCAGGCGGCGTTGTAGGCGGTGTTGCTGCCATTGCGCTGGTGGGACTCGGTGCGTTCCTGTTCCTCCGGCGGAAGAAGAAAAGGAGGGCGCATGAGGCGGCTGGCACAGAGGTGTCGCGACAGAGTGCCATGTCGGAGCTGCCTGGTTATACCCCCTACTCTTCTCCCGAACCGAAGCCTGGCTTCCTCGACTCGCCGACGTCGCCTGGTCACCAACGCGACGTACATGCCCATGCTGCGGAGCTCGAGGTTCCAGCTAGTGCGAGCGAGATGCCGAGTAGTCCGCGGTATGGCGGCTCGTCGGTCGAGATGGGAAGCGATGCCACGGCTAGCCCAAGAGTTGGCGATATTAGCCCGCGGGTTGGTGAAGTGAGCCCGAGGGTCGGCGATGTCAGCCCGAGGGTTCCTGGTGATGTTAGCCCCACGCTTGGGGATGAGGGATTAGGGTATCATGCTGGGCGGTAGGCGAGACATCACCCTGGAAGGTGATGTTTGCTTCGGTAGTGGTCTAGTACTTCGTGCATGATGAAAGTTCGTAGGTTATGGTGGATCTTCTCAAAATGGAGGGCTTCGAAAGTCAGGTTGCCATTCAGGAACTAATCAATTCTTCTAAGAAAAGACGTAAATGATATTCCACTAAGCACAGCGATGTCTGTCACTCCTGAAAACCATTTGCAATTCCAAGCTTTAGAAAGAAACTTTGTTCGACCACTCGAAATTGCGAGTTCTTATTAAACTCTCGAAGTATACTTGAGCGGCAAATCCTCTTACTTTTCCTCGCTAAGATTCTATCTACCACTAAGGCGTTCATACTCATTCCCGTTCACCGACTATTCCCGATGATGTCCCGAAGAAACTTGACTTGATTGCCCAAACTAGATTACTACTTCGCTTCTAAGCTACTACTTTTGATAGAGAACTTCAAATGGAATCGGAACCGGTCTCAGAACTAACATCTTCGAATCCGCTGTCAGAGACAGAGAGGTAGCCGTCCTTAACGGCGTCATCCATATTCAAGTCTTCCAGATCGACAGCGACATCCTCGGGCTCCTGAACCGGCTGGCAGGGCTCTTGGGTACTGCCGAGAATGCCCTGGTTCTGCTCCTTGAGACAACTGTTCTCCTCTCGTAAGGCCTCGATCGTCTCCCCCAGCTCGTCGATATAGGCCTGTAGCTGGATTATCTGCGTCTGGTCGACATCTTTCAGCTCCTCAAGGCGGTTGATAATAATTTCAGCTCGGTCCAGGCCGTCCTTGAGCTGGCAGATCTCAGTTTGGTCAAGGTCCGCCATAGCGTGATCGACTTCCAGAATGGTCAGGGAAGCAGCCATGGTGTGTGTTGGAAGGGTTTTGGGGTAGTGTGGAATATAGATGGTAGCTTGGAATGGTTGATTTGTGGTATTTGCAGGCTTTTGAGGGTGTGTGATGCTCCTTTGTGTTTTGGTAATGCTGAGAAAGGGGCTCAAGTTGGTGTCTGCTTTTTGTCAGCCAAGGTGTAATCTAGGATTCTGTGATGAAATACAGAAGTCTGAGGAAGAGAGTTGAAGAAAGAAGCTGTCTCCTTTTATAAGATTCCAACAGAAGGACCGGGTAGACGGGCATGTGCCGGCAGGGAAACATGAAGCAGGCTATTCACATCACTACTTGTCGATTTTGTAAGTGAATACGAGCTGAAGCTCAGCATTTCCGAAGATGTCGTTGAGATCGAAGGTCGTAAAATTGAGTGACACTCAGTTATGCACTCATAAACAGGCACAAAGGGACTAGAGAGTGCAAAATACTTGCACAAATATGAGTGAAGCACTCATAAACAACTAGAAAAGGGTTTGAGGATGCAAGATAGAGGACTAAGCAAGTGATGAAGAGCTTATGGAGCTGACCTTACAGGCATGGCTTTGAGGTCGCACAACTCATGACTAATTGTGTGTGACACGCTCACAACAACCAGAATGAGACCGGAGGTCGCAACATGAGCGTCAGGGTGTGGATGATTGAGTTCGGAGGGCATCGACACGCGCATTCAATTGCAGGTGATAGGGGCAATAGGTCGCTGCCGTGAACTTAGAGTTGAAGATCCAAGGGGGAGTCATGGGAAGTAAGTATATACATGGGCAGTGATGGAGTGCATGGAGTTGGGGAAGAGGTGTAAATAAGGGGAAATGGGAGCTGACCAACCTGCAACTCCAACAGCGTCGTATTATCCACTACTTAGCTGAGTGACGATCGGCCGATCGAAGCTGCAGGATGTAGGCGGAGGCTATATAGCGGGGGCGAAATGAATGCTTTTCTGGGTGGAAGATGTGAATCTAACTCTGGACTGTTGACGAAATGGAGACTTCGACAGACGTGATGGGTGGATGATGGAGGGGCGGGTGTCAAAGCCGGCACAGCGGGGAACGGGGGATTGCTTTCCCAAGGTGGTATTGCGGTATTGATTTGATCAGTGATATCGGTGGACTAAAGAATTCTTGCAACGGTCTCCTTTATTTGGAGCAAAAAGGCTACTCGTCGACAGATAAGTAAGGTAAAATGAACTGCAGAAGGGCGTTGTTGTTTGTGTGTCTTGGCTGGCTAGGCTTCTGTTGGAAGACCTTGAAGTGCAGTTGTTCTAGTTAAAGTTCAATTCAGGAGTTGGTGCAAACAAGGACTATTTATACTCAAGAGACCTCGTGCTAATCAATCGCTACAGGAATGAAGTCGTAAATCCTTTTTCTTTGTCCACGATACTTTTAACAGCCTTCAGTGTTGATGGCTTCAAGCAGCTTTTAACAATCTGGATCCTGCTTTCAACCGCAGGTGTGTGAGTGTGTTCGAAGTTACATGGGCTCGGCGCTTATGGTCTTGCTAAGCGCCTTGGGGGGTCGATAGACTAATGGCATAGGTATTGTGAGCGGGAGGGCACTAGACACTCCAAAGAAGACTCTCGCTCCCTCCGCAGGCTTGAAGAGTTAGAAGCCTCTATTGTAGGCACCGAGATAGATGCATATATCATTCAACCTGGTGTAGTAGAGAGACTCATCAAAACCTCTCGATGACGAAAGGAGTTGAACATTACGGATAGGCAGCCAAATCTCACTTTTGAGAAGGCTCAGAGTTGGGAGTGCAGAACGGGATGCTAAAATTACACACCAATCATGTCTTCAACCCCCAAACGTTGGTTGGCCTCCGACATGACCGATCACCCTCACATGTTTTTGCGTTGGAAGCATGTTTGGGATTGAGGCTACTTCCTCCAGGCATCAATTTTACAAAGAAACTAAGACCCTCGTTCGTAATATCTGTTTTGCTGAAGACCCTGTCCTTGAATCACCACTGCAAACAACCGAAAGACATCAAGAGCGCGATGCAGGCACTCAGGAATGGAAAGGCTTATGCTGAGGTGGCAGCTGTTGGCCTGCTGAGGTCGAAAATGCTTCCGCCCGGTGTCAGCAACCAACAGCTACTTCGCGGGGTCGGCGGAGAAGACACAGAGCCACCACCACCGGAAAACAGCGAAGATGAGTCCGAAGAGCCATCAAGACTGAGAAAGGTGCGTTGGAGCATGCATCTAAGTAGGGTATACATGCCGCTAACATATCTGGAACCTTCGAGGCCGCCGACTGGGTTCGTGAAAACCCCGGGACGACTGTATGTTATGGCGTGAGTGCAGGCAGTCTCGTCGTTTTGGCCGCACCAGCTCTTGTCGCTGCACCAGCCCTGGGACTTGCGGGTTTTGGCTCGCAGGGAATAGTCGCCGGTAAGTGAAATCCTCAAACTCGAGGCATAGTCAATCTTTGTAGTTGAAAGTTTTGATTACTGACTCTTTCGGGTCGATAGGCTCTACGGCAGCGGGCATCCAAGCCGGAATCGGGAACGTGGTGGCGCCGAGCCTATTTGCTACCCTCCAAAGCGCCGGTGCGGCTGGCTACGGTGCCGCGGTCGTCAACGGAGCTATACAGGCGGGCGCCGGGGTTTCTGCTACTGCTTTTGCGTGGTGGGGGGCAAAGAAGAAAGATTGTGGAGAGAATGGCAAGGAGGAAGAGGGAGGCGGGGATAAGAAGCCAAGTGCCGAGCAGGACTAGAAGCAGGTAGCAAACAAGACTTCCATCTAGGCTCAGATTGAAGGACGAATGAATCGATGCCACTCTCATGACGAACAAAATACCACGTGCCGCTGGGTATCAATCATCGCGAACCTTTGATGTTGTAGACGCAGAGGCTCCATCAGGGAAGCTGATCTGCGTGAAGCAATGGCTTTCCATAAACTTCTCGTGCATCTCAAAGGCAGACGCGATCATCATATTGATTGTAAGTGGGGTTATTTGTCAAGACAGAAGTTGATCTGAAGATTGCACCGTTTGTGTTTCTAACCGGTCTCGGCATACTGGACCTTGGAGTTGAGATCGGCCAGTACCTGGCAGCCTGACATTGTCAACTTCATTATAAGACCATTAAAGGCCTCACCATCCTTACGAGAGTCAACGCCCGTAGCGCCACTGGTGCCATTACAGGCCATGGCCTTCATCGTTCGAGTCTTTTCGTCGACGCAGCTGCAGGAGAAAAGGGAATGGCTGTTTTGCGGATCGCGCTTTTCGAAGGTGTTTGCTTGTGTGCGCTATGCTCGGTGTTAGTGCCTGTCTGTTTAGGGACTTTGGACACGAGTAAAGCAATGACCAAGAGACTTAGCGCCAGAAGAGCAGACTTTGAAACGAGATTTTGGCTTGTACGCTCATCATCATAATTAAATATGAACAAGGTGACGCTCAGCGTGCTGGTGAAAAGTGGGCTTTGAAGTGATTGAAGGTCACTATTCGTGGTTGAAGATGGCTTCCTATCTTCTATGAGGCTTCGACGGCTAGAAGTTCTTGAAACAACAACTCGACCTTAAACTAATTCTCCCCTGCACAGCACTGACAATCCACAGTCACGGTATCGCGAGTGTCAAGCTCCTCAATGAGGCCTACTAAGCTTTCAGAGCCGCCCGCAAAAACCTGGAGGACGCGTCGTCTACGGGCCTCAAGCGGTGTTACCTGGGGTTTCCTCTGCCCAAAGAAACAGAGTCAAAAAGCACCCAGGGCTCTTTCAGTGCGAGCGGGCAATTATTTTTGCGTTGGCGTCTCGAATTTCTCGGTTCGTCCGATGCGTCGCAGATCTACAGGCTGTTTGCATCTGCTGTGGTGAGTGTGACTGGCCTTGAGACGAAGCTTGACTCGGTTCATAGCCTTTGCGCTCTCCTTCTGTTGTCCCTCGAATTCCCGAAGGGCCGGTTGGAGAAGCACCAGGAACCCTCGAGTCGGAGACTCCGTCTAGGTCTGCAATTCGGGTCAAAGGGTCTCAATGTCGTTATTGCGAAATCTCCAGAGGCAGACAGCAGTGCAAAGGGTCGTTTCTGGGAGGCAGTCATCCAGGTACGACTGCACAGGCAAACTTCGTGCGATGAACTTAGCCCTCAAGCTCCATGTCACAAAGGTTCACAAATTTGCCACAGAGCAGATAATAAAAGTCTGCTCAGATCAAGGGCTCTCTCGATACGATCCTCCTAGAATTTTGAAAGTGCGCAGCATTCGGTCGCGGAAAATCACATCAGATTCCCAGCCTCAACCAACACCTATACTTTCAGATTCTCGTCTTTCTCCTCAGGAATCATGCATCTCTTCAAGGCCGGCCTACCCGTCCTTGCTGTATGTTCAGTCATCCAAGCCATCCCTGTCAACACTGGCGAAGGACGCGATACGGCCTTACACCGCCACGATGGTCTCAAAGCTTCAGACACACGTCAGGAAAACAGAAGTGCGGGCGGTTTCGTGCCTCCTCATATCCTCAGGAATATCACCCGCAGTCCTTTCGCCACAGACGATGAGCGGCGCACTGCAAATCGGACCTTGGTGATTGATGGGGAGCGATGGGGGCCGCAGCAGCCGACAGATTAATCGGTAGCTGTTAGGACTCAATTAGAGATGACCGACAAGACAGCCGCAGTGTAATCTCACTCGACGAGCTTCGGTAAAGAAAAGAATCACTCCGCGGTCCTGCTGCCCAGGTAGCTGACAACATGACAAAAAGAAAGGGTCGCGTTTCAAGTATTCAGCTCGGACGCAGGGACGGCAGACTGCCATCCGGAGACTCAGTCAACTCGGCCTTTGCGAGCCCCGCAAGCCCGGCGGAATACGGCCGAGTGTGGAACTGGTGATTGTCTTGGTGAAACATCTTGTCCTATGCGCCGTCTTTGGGAGGAGATAGCAGACAACCCATCGATCCAAGAGCCCGCAATCGGGAAGCCAGCTTCTAGCCCTGCGTTTGGCGGCCTTTCTTTTCTTCGCAACCACAAACAGACCTGGCTCGGAACGACCGGCAATCGCTGCTGCATGCCGACACTTACTTCAATGGGGTGCTTTGTGGTACCTTATCACTGATTGCCTCAACGGCAACGCATCATTATTATCATCAGATCTCCGGGCGGAAACCCCCGTGATTAGATATCGTATGCCGCGAGTTGGAGAAGACTCCGGAAACCTTGGTCAAGACTAGATTTCTCGCTACTTTATCGAAATGAAGCTATTCCCATCAATTCCCTCGCATTGGCCACTGACAGGCCACGTGTTGTAGATCAGCAAACCTTCGAGGTATCCGAACTTGAGAAAGTTTGCAGGCCTTTCTGGACCGTGCTTCACAACTATTTGACATGCTGACTCACCATCCGAGCACAAAAAGAGAGACGGCCTCGGTAGCTTCGGGGGACCAAGGGGATTCCTTCGGGATCATCTCCGGGAACGGGAGTCTTCCGGGTCCGGATGGCCTCGACGCCAACTGCCGACGATGTAGTGATTTTCCTTGGTTTTGCTCGGGACCAGAGGGATGATGCGGGCCCGTTTCTGGGGTTCTTCCAAGGAAATGTCACGGATCCGGAGCGTTGCATCACCTGTCGGATCCTGGATGCGACGGTGGGCGGATGCTCGAAAAGACCACTCCGACTGACTCCCTGAGGTCGCACTGTTCGGATATCAAGGGAAAGCTCGAGCATCTATATACAGCATACGGTACACTTTGAGAGGAAGAGAGTTTGCGTGGTATTCGTTGAAAGCGGCTATGCAAAGACACGCGTTGTATGACGTCCAGCCAGGCCCAGACAAACGAGTTCTCTATGAAAATAGCCCACGGGGAGTTGGGGACAGTTTGATGTGGATGAGCAATGGTGGCTGGACAATCCGATGTGCAACGCTCATTGCACAGCACCAGCACACTTTAATTGGGGCTCTTTTTTCAGGTAAAGTTGAGAGTTGATCCAACATGGGGCGACAACTCAGGGGCTCGCAGAGGTTGTCTTGGGTAGATGACATAACCGCGCAGGGATATCCCAGCATCACCGCCCACGTCCAGCAAAGTCGTATTTAGGAACTCCCAGAGGGCGCTTCTCCCTTTTCGTACACGTTGCTCAACGCCCATTTACTACTATCTTATCTTTGGTCGGTCGATCGTTCTCACATACGTGTGTTTACGGTTGTATTTCTCTCTTCTCCGGTCCACTGAGCCTCACTTTTCAGATGCCGGTCGTCGCAGCTCCAATAGCGCCTTTCGTTTCATTCCCTCGTTCATTTTGAAAGAAACGACACACACTTCCAGTAGACCACACGCATGTTTGCTCGCAACACCCGAGCCAGAGGAAAAGGCACCATGTGGGAAGAATCCACGCGGGGCCGGGAGGGGCAGCAGTTTAAAGAGCAGAGCCCATACAGCGACCACGACGCTGTAGGTGAAAAGGCATCGGCCGCCGCAGCATCAGCGACAAGAAACAGCGCAGACAAGATCAGATGCCTCGATGGGCTCCGCGGAATCGCCTGTTTACTCGTCTTCAACTACCACTTCCTATGGCCCTGGACGCCGGCCATCATGCTGGGCTATGGAGCCATGCCCCCCGGATCGCCCGAGCCGTACTTTGAACGGTCATCCCTGCCCATCCTGTGCCTCTTACAACGAGGACGACCTATGGTGGCCATCTTCTTCGCCATCTCGGGATACGTCCTCTGCAGGCATATTCTGAGAGCGATTCACGAGCGACGCTTCGAGGCCGCTTACCAGAGCCTCGCGTCGTCCGTCTTTAGGCGCGTATTCCGCCTCTACATTCCCCCAACCATTAGCATGTTCCTCGTTGCGCTACTTGCTCAGATGGGCGCCTTCAAGTCCGAGTCTGAGATTTACAAAGGGCCCGACTCGAGGTACATCAACGGTACTGTGACTGTCGCCACATTGAATAACACTTGTGTGAATGGCACGTACTCTGTCGAAGGAGCCGCGGGGATCGCCAAGTTTCTCGGCTTACGAACCCCGGCTTTCCTGGGAAATGTCACGACTAATGACACAAACACGCTGTGCCTGAATGCCACGTCCCAACTCTTCATGCCTCCAATGCTGTATGCATTGGCAGATGACATTGAGGCCGCTTCCAGGGTGGTGAACGAGACGAGCAGCCTGAACGGCACTGCAATCAACATCACGATGCAGGACGTTGGGGACAAGGAGACACCTGAGAAACACAGGTCCTACCACGACCTTCTCCACCTGCACTCCAGACCAGCACTTCTCGATGACGAGAAAGACTCGGCCAACGTCACCAACCCGGTAAACTTCACTTGGGTCCAGCTAGGTGGCTCATGGGAGGAGCATCCCTTCATCCACGACAATATCACCTATGCTCTGAAGAACTTCACGAGAGCCTACGTCGAGTGGGCCAACCCTTTCAACTTTGGCCACTACCACACGCGCTACGACCCGCACACCTTTACCATCCCGATGGAGCTCCGCGGCTCAATGTTCATCTACCTCTTCCTACTCGGCACGGCAGCTATCCAAGCAAAATGGCGCCTTCGAATCGGTGCCCTCCTCTCCGCCTACAGCCTAATCCTAGGCCGATGGGATATGGCCACCTTCATGGGCGGCGTCCTCCTCTCAGAAGCGGACATTAGACGGGCTGACCGCGGACTGATCCCCCCAGCGACGAACGGCAGGAAAGGCCAGCAGGCAACTATCGGACAAAAGTTCCTTGGATCAAGAACAGCTCGATGGGGAGCGCTTTTCGTGGCGCTCTACCTGCTCTCGTACCCTGACGCCGGAGCCGAATGGACGCCCGGGTTCACTCTCCTCTCCTCGCTCGTGCCACGGTACTACATTCCCCTCTCCGGCTGGATGTTCTACCAGGCCATGGGTGCTATGCTCCTCCTGCCCTGCGTCCTTCATAGCCCCTTCCTTCGCGGCGCGCTCGAGGGACGGGTGGCGCAGTACCTGGGCAAGATCAGCTTCTCGTTCTATCTCGTCCATGGGCCGGTGCTGCATAGTCTAGGATTCTGGATCATGCCTAGGCTCTTTGAGCGTTTCGGTCGCAACCTAGGTTTCGTTGTCGGCTGGGTTATTTTGCTGAGCGTGTCGCTGTATTTGTCAGACTGGTGGTGCAAGAAGATTGATACTTGGAGTGCGAGTGTTGGACGCCGGGTAGAGAAGGCATTGAAAGACTGAGCTGGAGCTCCGGGTTTTTGTAAAATTGCTTTCGTAGTTATTCCCTATGGAGTAATCAAAAGGTCATGATACCCTCATCTTGATTATTCCTGGTTACGCACCTTGATGGCCCTCATCCGATCCCTTTAGGCACCAAAGAGTGACCACTTTCCAACAAGCATCGTCCGTTGTAGTCGATGGCCGAGCGGTATGATTCATATGTTGGCTCACGGTCCTACATAATGCCATGGATAGCTTGTTTTTTGCCAAGGTCGCGGGTTCGAGTCGGCTTTAGTCGTCTTCTTTTTCCTCACCTTCTACGCGTGCATGCAGTAGTGAGAGGTCGGCTCATGAGGCCTCCGCGCAAATCTTCATGCCTCACCGATGAACACTCTTCCTGTACGTGGTATGTCAAATGAACAGATGGCAGGATGTTATTCATGATCCATTATGATTGTCTAGCTGTATGATACAGGCTTATTGCTACTAAATATCTGTAAGGCGACGAAGCCTTATAGTAGGGCAATACAGCTGATAGGCTTCCCATGATATGACAGGGTATCGATAATCAGTGATGACGCTGAACAATCATCTTGTTCCTCATGCTTCTCCTGCGTCGAGTAGGATGCGCAGGCTGCTTCCAGAGAGGTTGATCAGGATCATAACCAACAAGGCAGTTGACCGTCTCCGCGCCCTCGCCAGCATCGTTAATCTCGCTGCCGACAGGATTCTTCCATTGCCCAGTGAGCTTGATATATCCGTCAAGAGCATCAGTCATTGTCTTGCCCAGCTCGAGCGCCTTGGCAGCTCTGCTGTGCGAGTAGTACGTGAGCAGCGAATGCGCCGCCTCACGCTCGTTGTTCTCGATGAGAACTCTAGCGCTTGTCTCGACCCAGTCCACGTCGCTGCGGCTCTGGTTCTCGAAGCCCGTGAGCATCTGCGTGACGATGGGCAGATAGATGTCTGGGGATGAGCAAATGTAATACAGCACGCGCTTGAAGATGCGACCGGCAAAGACGCTCGCCTCCTGCAGCTGGAAATCCGGGTTCAGGAAGCTACCCGAGGCGCCGGTGGTGAGATAGCGGTGCTCACCGAATTCGGGGGGCACGCTGTTGACACCGAGCCACCACGGCACGAATGGCGATGAGACGGAGGTCGCAGGAGCATTCCAAATGCGCAGCAGGTCCGCATCGATACCAGCTTTCAAGCTGACGATTTGCCCGTAGCCTGCCTCGTCATCGGCGATGCGCTTGTCGCGGACGCGCTCCATCAGCTTCTCCTCGGTGAGAGGAACCATCTCAAGGGTGGCGTTCTCGAGCGCGGCTTGGGACATGAACTTAAAGCCGCCGTCACGGGCAGTCATATTCTCGCCCTTTTCGCCGTACGCGTTGAAGATGTTGAAGGGCACGCCCCCGTTGGGATCCCACCAACCTTGCTCAACGGCAAAGGAGACAATGTTCTCGGAGCCCATATAATCGGAGCTGTTGGCAAAGTCGGTGGGAAAGTCCTCAATGTAGCCAGGGTATAGAACGCGGACCTCGTCGGTCTTGAGACGCTCTGCCGCCCATAGCTTCTTGCCGCCGGCCATCTCCCAGACAACCCAGCCCTCGTCCTTGTCGGCGACCAAGTGAGTGTTTCCGCCGTAAGTTGCCTCGCCGTACTGGTTCATCAAGTCGCCAATGATTTCCACGCCCTCTCGAGCAGTCCTAGCTCGTTCCATGACGATGCGCGCAAGGTCGCTGTACTGGATTCCGTGCTGCGGGGTCGGGGTCATGTTGACTAGCTCATCGCGGTTCTGCGCCCATACGTCACGGACGGTGACGCCGTTCTCGTTAAGGCCACCGTTGGTGAGCGGCGCTGGGAAGCCCTCGAAGTCCGAGTACTCCATCGACATGTACCGGTAGGTGTGGCTGACCTGCGCAATCGTAAAGAGCTCGCCGGGAATGCTGGCCTTGTCCGTCACGCCGACGGTGATCGTTGCGTTAGCCGCGTGGTCGGCGGCGGGAAACAGCTGGAGCCAGTGGGAGGAGACTTCTTCGCCGGTGCCGCCGACCATGACGCTCCCGTCGGCGGTGAGGTCCTTGCCGACGTAGAAGGCGTAGCTAGCGGAGGCCGGCCCGGCGAGGGCCGCTAGGACAACGGCAGAGCTTTGGAGCATCATCTTTGCCTGTGATTAGCGAAGATGGCTCTGAGCGAGTTGGTTGAGGTGGACAAGAAAGAGGAACTGCCAAAGAAGAGGAACCCAGCCCCTCATCAAGAGGGACTCTTCTCCTCACCCCTCGCTAGAATCATTTTTCGGCAATGATGTCAAATGGAAGCCTCCGATGTTGACTTCGGAGTCGTGTTACCCCACACCGAAATTTCCGGTATCGCTAGCGGTGAAGATAACGGGTGCGCCAAGAACCGTCATTCTGCGCGGTAAACACACTTAAATGACAATGATAAGTGAACGACTGACAAGGATCATCTTGTCTCCCTGGAAATGAGCCCATGGGTTTGCAGACGCGGTCCCTTGTTCCTGGGGAAATAATGGTTAGAATTACCGCAATTCGACTCAATCGTTGATTGACTCGGGTAAATAAGCGACTAAAGTTGCCCCATTGGAGAACATTCCTGCAAGTCATGCTCCAATAGACTCGGACTATGATTCCGCATGCACACTCTCCATCCACATGTTGTGGAAGTTGTCTCTCAGCATGTCTTCGGACCTGATCGGCTATGAGTTGGACGTTACCCAGCTGATTCCTATTTTTTCACAAACTTCTCAATACGTTTGCAACCTAGGCCCCCCCCCCCCCATATTTCTAGTCAATATCTAGCAACGATCCAGCAAAGGATGACTACGGCGGCGAAGTTATCAAGATCCTGTCACCGTGGCCTTTTTAATTGGAGTTTCGACCTATGGAGCGAGAAAAGACTTCGATGTTCAAGTTGCGAATTCAAAGTCATTGATACACCCACCTTCGATTAGCGCTGTAGTCACCTGTGGGGACTGCCGGACTACTAGCGTATTTTCCAAATTCCAGGTTTCAATGCTCTTCCCACGGGAGTTGTATATCCTCTCGAAGGGATCTAGGTATACTATTCGCGATAGGAAGCATCTCACCTCGCGCTACTAGTCTATAAATTCTAGTGTCATCTTCTAAAGGAGCCCAAACAGGTTGCTTTCCTACTCCCTTAATATCGTTTCTCTGCTTTCACTCCAATCCATCGTCCTTTTTGGGACCGCCTCGGAGCCGTTCCTAGTCGAGCTGAAATCTTGTAGTGACTGATAAGCACCAATTCTAGCCTGGCAGCCCTGACAATACATAGCCTCCGTATTTCCTCTCGATACCATCCCATCAGCAATCCACGTCAGTATTTTCCAAGCTGCTTGGAGAAAAAGGAGGTCCGCAAGCAGGATTGAAAACAACATGGCACCACCGTTCTTCTGTTGAGGAACAGAGCAAAGGTATTGGCTGACAATGGTAGCGTTGCTGCAACCCAGGGGCCCCATCATAGGCTGGAACTTATCGTAGCTATCCCGGAGCGTCACCAGGCCGCTATTCGTGTCATTCGATCTGGGAGCAGGAATTTGGTTGTATCGGTCTGACCCGTATAGTTGTGATCTGGAGCCGTTCAAAATCCGTCCGGGATCCCGGTTGTGATCGTCTGGTGCCAGGATTGCATACCGGAGCCCACGATCGTCCAGAAGGAGGTTCGGTGCCTGGCAGTTGCCTAAGTCCAGGGAAAGTAGAGAGAAGAGAATCTTTGAGGAGTGAAGCCCTTCTGTTAGTGCTGGAGATCCGTACCACTGCTAATATTAGCTAAAATGTCTTCTCTCGATCGAAATTGCCTACAAGTCCTAAAAGAAAAGGATTGACATACATCAGAATTGTAATCTTTGAGACTTTTATCCATGTTCTTGTTGAGAATCGAGGAGTCCGTGTTTGCTAACCACCAGTAGAGGTCAAAAAACTGATCGGTGTAGATGCTAAATCAAGAAGTGAGCAAACGTGAGTTGGACAGATGAGCCATAGTGACCTACTCTTCTCCTGGCTTGGGAGTGTAAGTAAATCCGCTACGGACGACATAGTTGTCGGAGCCATATATGTTCGTCATGTTTGCTGCAACTGTCATTACACCGCTCCAATATGCATTGAGCAGTCTGGTCCCCCACCACACGCTTGCGTGCGTTCCAGGATCATCTTCGATCACGTAGCTATAGGTATGATCCCCTCCACTATTTTCCTCAGTAACGAGCGTTATTATCACGGGACCGTCATCTGTCACAACAGTGCAGTCGACAGTTGCCTCCATCGTAGACTCCCCGTATGACAGCCACCATGAAGGAGCAGGCGGCACCGCCGTATCACTCTTCTTCATCTTCAGAACTATGCTTTTAGGTGAGCAGCTTTCAAGAGTATTGTTTTTGTAATTCAAGCTCGACAATGAGTTCCTTCTTGAGTCCGAAATGGCCTTGATAATGTACCTAAAGCCCAGGTTTGAGGTGAAAAAGGAGTCGCCGATTGTAAACAGACGCGGTTGGCACTCTGCTTTTACGTCGCTCCTCCAATTGAACGGAATCTTTCTGAACCATCTGGAATCATAATCTTAGCGTGATAATAATTACTGGCTACTGTTGTACTGCCGACGTACTGTGCGTTTGAAAGGGCTTCGGTGCCATTGGGATCAGATGTATATAGAGGCTTCAAGTAGTATCCGTTTGCGCTCAGGTTTATTAAAGAGAGCAAGACGGCGAGAATGACACCGCCAACCAGAACGACAGGCGTGAACCAGCGAAAAGGATACGGCTTGGAGATCGAGTACGAGAACCACGACCGATGCATCTTATCATTCGGACGCCGATAGCATTGCTGATTCCTTATCAAGTGATGGCTGTTGGCTTCAAAGCAGGCGATGATGTGTTTGGTCTGAACGGTGTTCGACAATCAGATCACCTTGATTTCTAGAAGTCGATAATCTACGTGCTGCCATGCAGCCTAAGGTACGCCGGGGGCGCTTGAACTTATACTCTGCTGCTTACTATGATGTCACGAATCCTGAAGGGTAGCGGGACTCTCTGATTGGCGATGTAGACCAAGGCGAGACATTGAATTTAGGTATCAGTGGTTTCGCAACAGTGAACGAACCATGCCCTTCGCTGTAATCGCCGCTAATCTTCACCAATCGGGAGAGTCAGTCGTAGGATTCAGGATCGGTACTTTCGCTTGATAGTGTCCTAAATTTGGCTCTACTTGCAGACCCCTGGAATCCTACGTGCCTGCCTAGACAGTAGCGTCTTACTTGCGTCTTAGGTGCACACAAGTGTCCATGTATCACGCAGGCCTAATTGCGCTTACTCAAATCCAACCCAGCTGCGTATCAATAGACTTCGTTCGCGTACCTTTAGCGACGAGGAGCTTTACCTTTGGTCTATGGCCTGACTGCAATTCTAGGCTTGCCAGGTGCGACCGTTCAACACAGGCTGCCAGCATCGAGCAATGTAAGCACAACCTGCCTGGGGGTCGACATATTGACCCAGGTATATCCGGCATGAGGCGATGGCGTGCAAGACGATATGCTTGGGATGTCATAGTTTCATAGATCACGTGTGGATATTATAGCTTAGGTAGGCAGTTCCAATCATACATGGTGTTCATACTGCAACTTGCCAGTAACAACGAGTGGCAGCGAAAGAGTTGCATTGATATCAACACAAGTTTGCTAGCAAACTCTATCAAGGGGCGCATTGGCAGTTGCTTCACGTCATTATCAGCAAGGTGAATTCATACGTGGAAGAGCAAGACTTTGACTTGCCAGACAGTTGCGGTCAACTTAGTACACTGCTTGAATGGAATCTCAGGGTTGTTACACTGCAAAAGCAACACTCAGTTCGTCTGAATCTATCGACCTGGGCACCCTTTTGGGAAGGGATACTCACAACTAGCTTGTCGCGGACACTGGGGCAAGGGTCAGCAGGCGCAGGAGGCGGCCTGGCCAACGCAGCACCGAAAACTGCAAAGAAAACGAAGGCGGAGAGCTGCATTTTGGCGAATCAATTGATAACAGTCGAGACTTGGAACTGATTCGTCCTGCGTACAGGAAGTTGTGGAATCTCGGCACGCTTTATATGGACGAGTTGGGTTGCTATGAGCGAGTCTGTCAAGCATGCTGAAGGACTTGGTGCAACTTCGGGAGGCAATCCCGGGTCGGACTTCCTTACAGCTCCGACGCAATATAGCAAACTTCGCTTCCTTCTAGTCTAAACTCTGTTCTGGTATAATTGTTGTAGAGGCGCTTCGATACGGCAAACTTATGCCGACTTTAGCTAGGTGAATGACTCAAGAGTTCGTGATGGATCATGTCGAATCGCAACAAGTTGACAACCAGCCCACACTGCTCGCTAGTCAGCGACGCGATTTCGAGTACTTTCAGTCTAAGGAACTCCCCAGATCCAAGATCTTTGCGGTTTTGTGTCCCAAACCCGTAAGTGATAAGCTTTGCCGCTGATCCGACCGGGAGAATACCTAGAACCTCCTGCCGCTTTGGATCATAGGGGAATCCGGAATATAGGGGTGGAATGCATCTTAGACCTTGCAAGAGGTCAACATAGTTTAGGCATTTCCTGGAGCTGTTTTCACAGGTCAGCGGTCTTCTAAAGCTAAACATGGCAATATAGTTGGTGCTGGTCAGCGGAACTTGGAACTCTCACTGAGCATTAGCCAGCGTAGCGGGTACTGTGTTTGAATTGCGGCGAGTTGATGACATGATTTAGTCCGATTAAGTCCGTCAAATGAGCGGCCATGATCATCCCACTGGAACGCACTTAATTTGGGTTTGGTTAAAAGATTTATTAAGGCCCAGTGGCCGGGTATCATAACATCCCACCGGAGCCTGCTACTTAAGGACTCGAGAAATCACTCGATAGGGCCAGCCGGTAATTGATAGCTCAGAAATGTCCGATGACAGGAGAAATCTGGTTATCGGGTCGCAGGCCATGGTGCTTGACCTCTGAGCCAGGCCGGTCCGGCTCTTCATAACGCCTTCGAAGGCCCAGAGCCGACTTGAACTTCATCAGTCTTCGCAAGGGCAGCAAAACGCATCTCCAAGGACTTTCAGAGTATCACCGAAGCCTCACAGTAACTTCGAGGCAGCTGATCTTCCTTACACGACTCTCCTCACCGAATCCCTCATCCTCTTCTTCGAGCACCACATCATCGACCGTACCCACGGTCTTGGTCCTCACCTCGACCTCGCAGTCGCTCTGCTCTGTAAACCATGCTGCGATGCTGAGGACCTTCTCAATTGCTCTGCCTGTGCCGAGCACGATAGCCTCTCCATTCCCTCCTTTGGTGCCGTTGTCGCGATGGAGCAGGTCGATGCGCTGGTTGAGGTTCATGCCCCTCGTCGACGGCGCGTTGCCTTTGAGAGACTTGTCCAGTTGCTTGCGGACACGTGAGACTGCTGACATGAACGGTGTTGACGCTGACACGTAGATGAGTTGTGATTTTGATGAGTTGGGTTGTTGACGGCGAGGCAAGGCACGCTTTTGAATTTTGGAGCCTGAAATTGGGTTAAGCGAAGACTCATCCGACGGGGAAACTAAGTTTGGAGTGGCTGGCTTACCTTCAGGCAGCCGAGGCAACTTGTTCATAGTGGAAGACGACTGTCTTGTAGAGGGTGAATTATCTCTGCCAGCCTGGCCTTGTGTTGTTGACCGAGTCGGCGCCATGCTAGGCCAGGCAGCTGCGTGGGTGTGAGTGAGTCTGAGACTTGAAATCCTTTCTGCCTTGACGGTTTTGCGGATCTCGATGGCGTGTATGAGGTTCAAAAGGGTCTCGTCAGATCAGAGTGAATAGGAGTTCTCTGAGTTTACCTAGCTGAGTGGCTCTAAGATACGCCGGCCTGGAATATTCAACATCGAAAAAGATGCTGAACCGTCCCCCGAATAAGAAAAGTGCATGGAGTGGGCCCAGACCCCGTCTGCAGCGGCGGGGCAGGCGCACCTTCCTCCGCTAAATCGGTTCGGCCCCCACTTAAGAAGGCACCGCGCACCGACCACTCTGGTCCAAAGCCTCCCGCGATGACGAGATGCCCTTCTGGAGCTTCAAACTGTCCACCATGAGCTAATCGAATAACACCATTCGCCCTGTTGCGGCTGCCTATGAATCGTTTTTACCACACAAGACTAGTCTCACGAGCTGTCGAAGCGGAAGCGAACCTGAGTTGACAGCATGTCAATAGCAATCTGGCCTCCGGTGTCCCCAGAGGAGCTGATAAAAGGGAAACAGGAATGCCTCGTACGTACCCTCGCCGTCTCTGCTTGCCCCGCGTCGAACCCCTAATCATTGGATCCCAATCTCGGAAGACACAATGCTAATCAGACTCGACAAACTCTCACAGGCCCGCGAGCTAGAATGGATCGTCGTAGAAACACACGCGATCCTTAAGGACATCCGCCACGGCCTCCAGGACTGCTACGCTCTTCTGGCGCCCATCGACCCGGGAAGCACTCTCGTCATGAGCACGCAGCGTAACGAGCGCGTAAAGGGAACAGTGACCCGGGTCGGCACGCGGATAATCAAAGGCGTAGGTCTATTCTCTGCCGACTACCTCTCTCTTTCGCAACTACGAATCCGCGGCTGACACCTTCAAGACAATCCATCTCCAGCTCAAAACCCTCCCAACGCAGACCTTGAACCTCGACGCCTCGCACCCAGTCCACATCGCGGCTCTCGAAACAATCCACACACACCTAACAGAATGCCTCGACCTTCTCTCCCTTACAGACACACCGAGCCCTTCCAATAACCCTTCTCAGCTCGCCGCCCAGCTGCGCATCATCGCCGCCTCCCTCAACGAGTCCTCCTCTCTCCTCAAGGGCCCGGCCCTGAACGAAGTCGATCACAGCTGGCAGACCGACTCCTGTCCGCCCGTCCACTTTAGCCCAACCCTCGGGCCAAATATCAGCGTTCACCTAGGCCTCCAAGAATCGAGTCTGGTCCTCTGGTTGCGCGCTCTCGAACCCGTTGATTCGCCGGTACACTTCGGCACCAAGCTCGGTCTAGCCTTGGGAACCGTCCGAAGACTGGAACACGACGAGATGGATCGCCCTTTCCGGTTCACGTATAGCACCGTTACGGATGGCGGGCTGAAGCACAGGCATGGCACGGCGCATCCGAGGAGCAGCGGAAGCAGCCCCAGCGGGCTGGGTACACCCTCCAGTAATGGAGAAGCTACGGAGGTCTTTGTGAGGGAGAAGGTGCGGGTTGAGAGTCTGCCAGATCCCAATCTCATGTCTCTGTCTGCAAAGTTGGTTGCCTTGGGTCACACGCTGGCCAGTGCTAGGAGAAATCTAGCAGCTGTCATGGGTGAGGAGTTCGACGAGTGAAGCAATCTGTAAATGTAGTTATATACCCAGGAGTTCGGCAGGCTAAGTTGGCATGTCTTTGGCAAGGTTACTGTCTTCAAATTCCTATGTGCTGGTCTTGTTTACCAGGATTCTGTACACATACAAGTCGCCAAATGGAAGCCTTTTTCCATGATCAAACCAAGCCATCTGTCTTCCTAAAGCTGGAAAACGTAATCCCTAAAGCAGTTCATCCCTAGTTGCCTTCGCTGGCCTCACACACGCTGGACCAGGATGATTCCTCACATCGGTCAGCGTACCCAGTGTGTTGGCCTCGTTGGCATCGACAAATGAAAGCTGATACGGGCGATATGTAGAAGCATGCGATGCCGCGCATAGCAGAAACGCGGCCGAGCTGAGTAAGAGTCCAAAAAACCCCCCACGATTACGCCACAGGAGACCAGGGCATCGGGATCAAGATTCTCGACTTCATGCTCTGAATAAGAGGCACAGTCTTGTGGACAGTCTCGCTCCAGCCCTCGACGCTCCAGCTCTTCTCGCGGCGGATCTTTCGCTCCTCGAGGTTGGCGAACTGCCACAAGTGGTGAACGGTGTTCAGGTCTCCTATCTGCACAAACCAAGCGCCAACACCCTCCATGACTTCGCGTCTCGCCTTGAGGCCGCGTCTCCAGTGGGTCTCCCACTCGAGGAGGTTGCCAGGGTGGAGAGTGTATGATCGCAGCTCGAAGATGCCGCCAAGCTGGCGGGGAGGCGTGGTGGGCCAGAAGGAGAACTCCTGCATGAGGGATGTCTTCTTCGAGGTGATGAGGCTCTTAAGCTTCTTATCGAACTCGGCGAATTCGGGGTGCGAGCCAATGTTGTGGATTGACTCGTGGTAACCCTGGTAGCGCTGGTACTCCCAAATATGGACTGTGACCCTAATATTAGCATCATGTGGTTTCGCTTCAGCATGGGTTGTTTTTTCTCGGCAGGGTAAAATACCAAACGTATCACAGTCTCCAACTTCGGTTCTCCAGCTTCCAACTAGATGGACCTTATTCTCGGGCATGGAAGCCATGCGCGGGTACCAGCTGCCGACAAGCTTGGTGTACTCCTCCACCTTGTCGGGCTTGACCTCGTGCTGGACGATCGAGTGGACGTACTTGCCTCGGGCAAGGACCTGACTGAAGCTCGCCTCGAGCTGAGCATCGAGTTCGCGACCTTCCTTTGTGCCATAGATGAGGTTGGTCAGGGGGCCAGCCTTGCGCGAAGGCTCCTGGGTGGCCTCGGCCTTCTGTCCTGAAGTAGCACTCACGGATGAGTCCTGGGCGGGCTCGGAGGAAGAGGCAGGGGAGGAGGAGGATTGAGTATACGCACTTGCTTCCCGCTGTTTCTGCTGCTCGACCAACTGCTCTCGGAACTGCTTTGATTTGTCGTTGAAGGAGGCGACGCTCTTGGGCGCGGCGCTGACGTCGGCCATGGAGGGCACCTTGAGCTGCTGGCTCGTGGAGCTGAAAGCTCGCAGCGCGGAACGCGGGGTCGCCGCGCCGGCTGCTCGCACCAATCGCTGGCTCAGCATCTTTGCCTTTGGTGGTTTGGGGAGGGGATTGGGCAAAGAAAGGATGTTTTTGGAGAAGGTAGGTGAGATGAGGAGGTATATGGTGACCAAGAGATGTCGTTTCTTCTTCTGCTTGAGCCAAGGGACGTTTTGTCTACTCAAACAAAGGTGACAAAACGTGCTCTTTGTTCAGCAAGAACAAGCCTCTGGTACGTGATGTGAAGGAGGAAGGAGAGCGAATTCGATACGTCTCGATCGGCAAAAAGCAGGAAGCACCCGAGAGCAGGGATTTATCACAGGACGGGAAGCAAGTCGGCGTGCAGAAAGGGCGTTTGGAGGCGGCGGCGGCGGACGGACGATTAGGTTGGTACGCTGGCTTGTGGTGGTAGTAGCAACCTATGCAAAGGTAGCGGTTAGGTGTCAAGGTGGTGGTGGTGGTCTCGCCCGTGCTTGAAATGGCAGTCTAGGCAAATGGGATGGATATAATTGGATGAGTTGAGGAGGAGGTCGGGCTACAACCGTGCAACAGTGGTGTGTGTCTCTCGTTCTCTGCAGATTCCCCCGCACTTTCTGGTAAAGTGAAGGCGGTAGTAGTAGAGGAGTGAAAGGAGAGAGCTTCAGGAAGAGGAGGTGTGTGTGTGGCAGGGACGAGATGAATGTGACACAAGGGAGGAGATGTTTGGCTTGCTACACTACGGGTTCGGGGTCTGGCACCACCACCATGCCAATCCCTAGGTCCCAAGTCCAACTCAGCCCCCAGAACCTGGGGAAAGCTCTCGCCGCGGCCTGCCACGGCACGGGGGAACGGGTTGCGGGTGAGCGAACCTAGAAGCTGAAGCTTGCTAAGGTCACGGGTGGGTACGTATCACCTCCAAATGCGCCCAGATGCGGAGAAGCGTCGAATGATGTCACATGAGAACCGGGGTAGAAGGGGGTGGATCCGACCTTGAGGATACAAACGGAAGATCATTACTGCGGTAATCCGATTCCGCTCTTTTCCCGTGACAACCTGAAAGTAACAGGCCCGTGCCCGGAAAAGACCAGAAACGGACGATACTCCACTATTTCTCATCTGTCGCGGCTGTAGCCTCAGGCCACACTTTGCTCGGCTACGGGTCCAGCCGCCGAAACCGAAAGCTCAATCGGAGGAAAAAGGCTCGTTTTGATAGCTTCACATCGAACCTCCGAATACCGCCCGCCATCTAGACCCCTTCAATTTCTCCCCTGCAACCCACATCACAACCGTCAAGATGACCTGGCTCGGAGCTCGCGCACTCAAGAAGTACCCCACGCCCGTCCGTACGTATTCCTCGAAGACCGTCCCTACGAACCCGTCGCGCAATCGCTGACCTCCCTTACAGTTAAGCCGATGGCGCCTTTCTTCGCTGCCGGTATGTCCGAGTCCTCCGATGAACTCTGAATCCCGAGCGAACCAACTTGCAAAGAACACGAGAAAGAGAGCGAGAAGACTAGCGACGTGAAGCGCAGCGTGTGCTGATAATTCTGCAGGCCTGGTCATTGCCTACGGCATCAACTCCGCTCAGAACGCCATGATGAAGTGTACGTCGCGCAAACGAGGAACTCCCGAAAGGACGCATACTAATGTTATATACAGCCGACGAGTGGAAGAACGATGCCCGCAACCCTCTCGCCAAGAAGCATTAAGTTCGCAATGGAGTAGCCTAGGCTATACGGGGAGAAGGCCGAGCAACGGGAAACGTGTCGAGGATATAGACCCGCCAACGCGTTTTCTTCATGGACGCTGTATCATAGACGCACGGCTCGCATGCAATTGAGCTGTTGTACTAATGTACCGATGCCACACGTGCCATAACAATCGAGAGCTGCGGGCGCTCTGTGCCTATTCGGTGCGTGAAAGCGTCAGCAATCCGACATGACTGCGCCATTTGCTGTGTAATGACTCTGTACGCGGCATCTGCCGGACATCATTGCGTGAGAGAGAGGAGGTTTCAAAGTCGACAACCAAGAGGGGCGGTCGTCAACTCTGGAGTTGAGTCGCAGTATCACAAAGCGAGGCTCGGACGGACGGCATGCGTATCACGTGACACTGAAAAGTCGATAACTCTACCATTGATTATGATAGAACAAATTAACAGATGACGTACTGTACTAGAATGATATAAAACTAGAATTGACCATATGAGACTTCATCGGACTTCGAGGAGTGATGCAATCGGTTATCGTGGCTCTAGTCCTTATCGCCGTCTCAATTCCTCTTCTTTTCGGCGAAGAGTCAACTGTGGATTTGTCAGTATCCACTTTACACTGTCACTGAACACTTCGACTTCTCAACACGCCCTTTGAACTACATCGTAGATACACACACATGATAACTTCACTTCACTTACGTCTTAGAGCTGTTGCTTCTGTCTCTCGAGTTTCTCAGTTTTCTGCCAAGACCGTCAATAATACCCACTCATACTTCAGCCACATCTTCACCTGCAAAATGTCGACGGTAGCAGGCGCAACCCCGAACGGCTCAGCAGCAAAGAAGCCCAACGGAAAGAAAGAGATTAAAATTCTCATGCTTCACGGTAAGATATGTGCCCTATTCTCGTACTTTTTATAGAACGCCAAATTAGTCGTCCAGACCCAGCCCATAATCAACATTTCTTCTCCATGACCCCTCTCCAATTCTCATCAAAACCTCACTAACACTCCAAGGCTACACCCAATCCGGGCCCCTCTTCCGCTCAAAAACCCGCGCCCTAGAGAAACTCATCGCAAAGTCCTTGGGCCCCTTCAACCTCGCCCCAACACTTTTTTACCCAACTGGACCCTCACAGCTCTCCCCGCGCGACATCCCAGGCTTCGTCCCGGACGAATCCGCCAACGGCGAGGACCAGGAAATCGACGCCTGGGCCTGGTGGCGCAAGGACGAGTCCTCGGGCTCTTACCGCTTCCTGGACCAGGGCATCTCCACCGTCGCCGAAGCGGTCCGCGAGGCCGGCGGCGTCGACGGTGTAGTGGGTTTCAGCCAGGGCGGTGCCTTTGCTGCGCTCCTGGCGGCCATCTTGGAGGGTCCGCATCGCGATGAGAAGATGCCGGAGGACCTGAAGGCTTCGGCGCAGGCGTTGCGGGAAGCTAACGGTGGGAAGCCGTTCAAGTTTGCAGGCATTTACTCTGGTTTCTTTGCGCCGCCTGAGGAGTTGCAGTGGGCTTACGAACCCAAGATCAAGACGCCTACACTGCATTTCCTTGGTAGCTTGGACACTGTCGTTGAGGAATCAAGAAGTCAGGGGCTTGTGGACCGTTGTGAGGAGCCGATGGTCGTTGTCCATCCCGGGGGCCATTACGTGCCTATTACCAAGGAGTGGGCCATGCCGCTGATCGGCTTCCTCAAGAAGATTGCCGATGAAGAGACAGCGAAGAGCAACATTTAGATGTCAGTCACACATTACGAACGAATGAATTGGGTAGGGGTATAGATAGGTACATCAAGGACATTGGTTCATCATAGAATAGACCGAAGCATGTTTTACACATCCCAGCCTGGTTCATTGCCTTCGTCTAAGATAGTGTTCTACAATTACACGCCGTAACCCATGCCGAAACCCGGGCACCCATCCAGACGTCTAATGCGCCTTAGTAGACTTTCCCTTGCCCGACTTGGACGCGCCAGGCTGAATGTTGGCCATCATCTCCTCCTTGGTAATGAGATGATCAATACGCTCGAGGTGACCCAACAAGCTCTTCATGTTGGAGCTCCACTCATTCAAGATGTCATCTGCATCTCTGGGCTTCGCGAAGCTCACAATGCGCGCAGGGCGATCGATCTTGGCGTAGATAGTCTTGGAGGTAACCAGCTCGCTAATGTACTTCTCCGTCTCGTCCTCAGTGAGATCCAGCAGCTGGGTAAGGCGCTGAGTCTGGATGCGGGTGTAGTACTTGGCGACCACACGCACATTGTGCTCGATGACTCTCTTGCGGAGATCCAACCAGCGCTGGTGCGCCTTCTCGTCGTCCGACTGACCGGCCTGGGCGTCGAAGACATCGGTTTCGCACAGGTGAGGGCCGAAAGTCTTTGCAACCTCTGGCCAGCGCATGAGCTCGTGGACTGTGAAAAGCTTAAGAAGCTCGGCCTCCTGGGTGACTTGGCCGATTCTAGAGTCCTTCTGGATTCTGTGCAGCAGATCGTGCTGCTCGTTGTCGTGAGGGGCAAGAATGACGAAATAGATGATGCGTTGGAGGACCTAGAGATTGTTTGTAAGCAGTTGTGCTTGTCATAGCCGAGAGTATTGATCTTACAGGGTGGAGCTTCTTGGGGTCTTCCTCGACGGCCTCAGTGTCCAGAACCTGGCGGTAGTGCTTGCAGACATCAAGGTACTTGTCATCATGCTTCGCAAGGATGATCTGTTGCTCGTAGTACCGCAGCTTCAGGTCTGTTGTGTCATCCTCCTTCTCTTCGGGGACTTCCTCGCCTCTCGCCTTCTTCTTCTCGCGCTCCTTCTTCTCCTTCTCCAGCTGCTCGGGCGTCTTCTTCGGCTTTCGCGACAGGTATCGGGTGCTGATCTTCCTGCTTAGAATCTGTGCTTGAGTCCAGTCGCCAACCTCAATGCAGAGAGCGACTTGTGCGAGGATGAATTCGGTCTTCTCTCTTCGGTCCATAGATCCGAACGTCTCAACCTGGAGCTCGCAGAGGATATCTGTCGCCGCCTTGAGGTCGCCCTGCTCCTTCTTGATATCGGACAGAGTCTTGGTCACACGCGCACGCTCGACTTCGACAAAGATCTTTCCCTCGGTGACCGTCCGCAGTGTCTCGATGACGGTAAGCTTGGTTTCGAGATTCGGGGTAGAGTCGAGGAAGCCCATGACCGCCTGGACCATCTTGGTGATAGCTTGCTTGAGCTGCCCATGCTTCTTCGAGAGAATCAGAACCTGCTCATTCATCAAGCTCCAGTCCCCGGCATTCTTGGTGATGTTGACAATGGCGATGAGTATACGCGATGTCGATGCGAGATCTGAGGACTGCGCTCCGTTAGCACGTCAGCATCTGGGGAAGGGAGGGGTAGCTTGCTCACCTGACGGGTCTGCTTCTCCAAGACGCTCAGCTTCTCGATGGCAGCTGAGATATCGCTCTGTACAAATATCAGTATTCATTGCATAGCCACGTCAATTCCGGGCTGCAATCCGCACCTTTGCGAGCTTCTCTGCCTCCGGGATCTGCTTGTCCGTCTCCTTCGAGAAGTCCTTCTCGGGCTTCAAGGCTGCCTCCGACATGCTGGGCGATAGTTCGGGGGTTCTATTTGTGTTGAAGGTAGCGACGCGAGTTCAGATCGGAATCGTGGCTGCGGTGGATTGGCAGTTGAAAAGGCTGTCGGTTGGGAAGGTGAGGCTGATTTGGTTGTTTGTTAGAATCGAAGGCTCCCGCAGCTACGCAACATGCTCGTGCCTACCTGACCTCACCCTGGCCGCAGTGCTCAGGAACCCGGATTAGGTAAGGCGGGGCAGAGCTGGCACGGAGGGACGTACCTTTTCCCGGCCCTGCCTTCCCGCTTCCATCGATGGTCTGTGCATGGTAGCTTCCAGTTACTGTCGGTCCAGTTGCTATCGGTATTCTTTCCTCTAACTAATTTGGCTCTTGTTGATGGATGCCAGACGGATCATATTCTTGCTGGCGAGTACGCGACGTTCCAGAATCAACATCAAATATCGAAAGAATCAATGAGTCTCCTCTCCATAGACTTCATAGGATATGAGGAGGAATCGTATGTTCAGATTACCTCACTGGGGAGCTGAACTAGAAGTTACTGCTTGATTGCCAATTTACGCAACCTTATTTTGCTTGTGTCTACCGTTAAACATATTCCATCAACGTATTTCGTACGCCCTTAGAATTTAACACAGTTTCTCATTTCGACCTGCTACGTTTTTCAACAAAAATAATCCTATCAGCGTCAATCTCCCATTCTCGAATCTTGGATGGATTCGACCTGTGATTTCTTCAATAAAGCCCTCGCAGCCTGGCATCGCGATTTTGGTGACATGGTCACTCCCATGACCCCGAAGCCTCTTCTATTTATGTTTGTACTGGCCAGTTGCAGCGTGTGCGCACGCCTGGCTCGGAGTACTTCAGATAGGTAAAGAAGCAGATCCGCGGGATCCGCGGGACAAGCTCTTGCTCGCAGCTCAACAGTTTATGTGGCCCAGTTTCCATGGTCGGGAACAGATTATGTAGTATTTGAAAAACATTAAATACTAAGAAGAGCTTATGCTATCGGCGGACAAAGCAATATTTAGGGGTTGACAGGTGGGGGAGTGCTATCAATGACAATCGTCGTAGGGTTGACCTGGTTGCAGAGCAAGTCTCCAAGGCCACCGGCATGGCAGTATGTGAAAACATCGCCCTCGCCCCAGTAGCCGAAACTATTTGCCCTCGTCAGTTCGTCATCGTTCTCAGGTTTCATGATTAAAAGTAACTTACGCAAGGCCAAGCTCGTGGTAGATGCGCAGGGCAAACTCAGTCTCCTTGCCCGGACGGATTGTGAAGCGGTACTTGGACTCGCCGCAGGTAATCACATCGGAAGGAACACCGGTCGCACCCTGGCATGCCAGATCCGTGGCGTTGTTGCCAGAGAGAAGGAAGCTGACGTTGGTGACTGTTCCATTTTGCTGCTTACGGACAGAGAGGTCGGCGATGTCAATGTTCTCGTACGGGCGAGGCTCTTCCGTCTCTTGGGGTGCTGGGGCAGCGAGGGCAGCAACGCCGAAGAGGCCAGTGACGGTAGCGAGAGTGAACTTCATTTTTGCAATTCAAGGTCGGTCTTTGATCGTTTCTGGTGATGTTGGCAATAGTCGAGATTCTGTTGCACAACTAGTAAGGGTGGTTATGAAAGTAAAAAGTCCAGCTTGGGAAGAGGCTGCGCTGTGGTCGGTTATATACTTGCGATGGGCTCCAGATACCGGTCCATAAGATCATCATCGCCAAGTCGGTTTGGTCGGGCAAGCGAGGTTGGTGATTTCGACGTCACCGTCGCTTGGGAGGTAACCATTGTGTGGGGAATGCCTGTCCGGCAAATCCCAAAATGACTGTGTTCTCGTAAACGAAACTATGACAGTGTTGGAAGCGGGTAAACACGAATGACTAGCAATTCTGTCTCACTCTCAACTGCTCCCCTCTTGGAAGGTTCTGTCTCATGGGTAATGCCAGAAATAGCACATGAGATGAACTGTTCAATTCTCCACATCGATCACGAACTCTAATTTGACCGGGGCACTAAGATCACAACTTCTGTAAAGCTTTTATCCAGTGAAGGCCGGGATCCTGGTATTTGGCTGGCACGGCTGGTAATACCTACAAGGCAGGTGTTGCTTTCCACTGGAAATAGTGACGCTTACAGGGAGGCAATAAGTCCAGGGGAGTGAGAAAGCGCTGGAAGTGAGAGCCCGGAATGCACAAAGCTAAACCCCAGTAGAGACAGCAACGTTGTTTTGCTGCGTTGGTAGTCACATCGGGCAGTAAAAATGTGGACAAAATGACCGCCGATCTTCTCGTATTACCGCCAAGATCAATGTGGTTTCTTTGATGCGGTCACGGCCGCAACAGGCGACTCCCCATTCAAAATTACCCGAAAGTTCCAGCTCTGGTGCTTGGTTCTCTTATGCCAGCTGCAAAATCCATAAGTCCGGCTGACGTATCCTCTCAGAATGAATAGTAACTGTTGAGCTCTGAGAAAATATAATGTTCTCAACCTGTGCTTTGCAATGGCATCTGGTACACAAGACTATCGTTGCAAGATCTTGCACAACGCTAGTATCACCGGTGCTTGCATCTGGGCTTCCTCTTGCCGCCAAATATGGGCCGATACTCAAACAACTACCGTCTGCATAAATACTCGCTCAACTCCACCAAGATGAATTTGCATGAAGTCCTATCTTATTATTCATATTTACATATCTTGAGTTTCTCTTCTTCCGGTTCAGCGAGTCAATTCAATGGGAGGGTTCGATATTTCCCACGCTGCATTGTCCGAACTTCGGTAAGCGTCCGAAATCCTTGGGATCTATGGAAGTGTCAGACCTCGAGCTTCTTCGCCACTTCTGTAACTTCACTGCATCCGAATTGTCGAATGACCTGTACTTATTCAACGGGACTTCTGTCGTATGAATGTCGTAAAGTAGGACTTAACCACGAGTGATGATGCTAAGCGTCTTAGACTTGTTAGCTTCACATTTTGCGAGCCTTTGCCCGCAAAGGAAAAGGCCACATGTTGCAACCTTCGGCTGAGTGATGGAATTTAATGAAGAAAAAGAATGATTTAGGCCACTAGATCTGCTCAACACTCAACCTTGGCAACTTACACCGGTCCTAGCCCATAAGTTTTCAGAATTACACTGGCTAGATGATTAGATGATGCGTCGGCTATAGGAGAAAATTTCAACTTCCACCGAATATTACTACACTTTAAATACGTGTAACAAGCGCCGAGGTCGTTCACGAATCTACGACATGATGATACGGAAACCAGCACACATTAGGCGTTGATAGACGAGAACCTGGAAAATGGAGATCTATTCTTAAGGAATCAACGATAGCTTCATAGAATTCTTGTCATTACAGTTTTACCTGGGATGATAAACTTTGCATATGTAGTGGCCGGAGATCTAGCATGTTTCTGGATTATCACGTCCTTATGGTAACATCTCCATGACTCCATCAACTTAACTTAACAGTGACGACGCCCTTAGAAGGAACAGCGACGGATACCCCTGAGCCCGAGATGCTGGCCGCCGTGGAAGCGAACTTGTGGCTGTTGTCAGTGACCCATGCGCTTGCAGCCTTGGGAGTGAACCCCTTAAGTGAGACGTTGGCAGCCTTAGCAGCGCTGCTATTGTTTGTGAAGATGATCACAATAGACCCGTCTTTGTTTTTGACTGCTGCGGTCAAGACGTCGGATGCCACCATGCCCGACGTTTGTAATCTCTGCGCGCCGGGTCGGATGTGCCGCGACCACATGGCGAATGCCCAGAAGTTAGCCGACGGCGTCGCGGTCTTACCATCCTGCGTATCGACGAGGTTGGAATCGTACTGCAGCTGCTTGAGTTCAAAGCCCTCCCAGTAAAGATAGGCAGAGAGATTGGCATTTATGATGCCAACGGCAATCTTGTTGGCCCAGGTCATGCCCTCTGTAACGCCTCCATTCTTGAACCAGGTCAGGTCAAAGGCTGTCGTGATACCGGATTCGGTGACCCAAGAAGACAACTCAGTGTTGAGAGCGGTGTTGGCGTCGCCTGAGTAGGTGTGCGAGGTGATTAGACCCAAGTAGGATTCCATACCAGCGGCAACGAGAGCGTTGGTGTATTTGACGGTTGAAGCCCAGCCAACAGCATCACAGCAAGTGACTGCGGTCTTGAGACCGGCAGATTGAACGGCTTTGGACAAAGTGGGGATGAAAGAGATGGCCTCCTGGGCATTGAAGCTGATTTGCATCTGAGAGTATCCAGGACTGGGTAGTGTGGTAGTCAGTCCATGTCTCTAGCTTTAAGGGGGGTTCTGATGCTTACGAGAAGTCGGGCTCGTTAAGGAAGCCTAGGTGGGTAATGTTGAGCCCGGCTTGCTGGTAGTACTTGACAAACTGCACGAGGAAGTCGGCATAGGATTGTCGCCAATCGCCAGAGGAGCAGGTATGGCCGGTTGTGCCGCATAAGTATCTAGAGCGTGTTAGAGAGTAGCCACTCAAGCGACTACTTGCGTTCCCGTCGCTTCATTACCACTCGTCTTCATGAATCCAGGAGCATTCCAAGCGTCAGTGTAGATTTTATTCACCCCATAGCTGACGGCCTGCTTTGTGAACCATACCTGACCGCTGTCGTCGTTGTCCCAGGTATAAGTCGGCTTACCTGCAGGCGATCCAGGGCTCGTAGGAAGAATGCTGTCTCCTTTGCCGCCGGAACCAATGCGATTTCGGATGATGCTGAACCCGGCACCTTCGGTAGGGCAGAAAAGTAGATCGAGAGCCCCCTTCTGAAGGGCCGTGGGTGCGTTCTGGAACTCCTTGGCATGCCTAAAAGCTTGAGAGAAGCCAAATCCGTCGATCTTTTGCAACTTGGAGGTGGTGTCGACGGTAACCTGCCAAAGTGCCAAAGCGCCTAGGCCGACAACACCAAGCAAAGTTGTGAAAGGTGACATCTAATCAGCAAATCATGAACAAAGAAAGAACGTGATGTTCGATATCGAAAGGAATATGGGAGTGGGCTGAATCCGCGTGCCAAGAAAAACGACAACTCCGGGAGTTTTGCGGATCTCATATACATGGGGCATTCAAGAAATTACCGAACAACGCGGGAATCTCGCATCCCCTTTGGTAAGATAGTAATCAGTCCGAAAGCCATTCTGATTGCTCGTTTCTAGGACTTACGGATTTTGGTGCATGCTGGCCCTCCGAACCCAGAATTGAGGAGTCTTGACAATATATTCGAAATAATGCTGTGCTCATGTCGTTGTTACCAAGCTACAGTGGCACTCATTGGAGCAGGGAGAGAAAACAAATCGCTCCAATAGAAACATTGGTGATCTAGTCTCGGGAACGTCCGAACTGCTCGCATAGCAGCGAAGCTGGGGCTTCCTAGTCCTTCTTCGGTAAGTGACATAGAGTGAACATGAAACTCAGGGGCCAGGCGAATATGTATTATTCAACTACAAATTACGTCAGGGGCTTTTTTGGCCGTGATTGCGCCCTAAATCTTGTTTCAAAATCTGGACCAGTCGTTATGAGGAAGCATAGAGGTCTAGGCTCGTAACGACCGTACTGCAGTAGATACAGTATCGTTGTCTGGAGATGGCCATAGCTCTGATTGAAGGACTCCGCGGCATCACCAAATACCCGATTCGTTTGAAACATCGGGTCTCGAGACTGCGATGTTGTAATGCGAAGTGTTCTTTATTAATTCGCAAGTCAGTGGACATAGATACGACAATTCCTCATATAAAATACCAAAAATGTTGGTCCTTCCGTCATTGTCCATCCGTTCAACCCATACGCCTCATTCGTTCTTGTTTCTACTCGTCTTCACTCTTTTGGTCTATCCAATCCATATAACGCAACATCTTTTGTCACAATGAAGTTCACTCCTGTTGTCTTGGCCGTTGCCCAGGTGGCATCCGCTCATTACTTCTTCGACACCGTGGTTCAAGACGGTACCGCTGGAAAGTCTTTCCAGTACATCCGAGACTTCACCCGTACCACCAAGTATAATCCGATCAAGTTCTCGAAGAACCCCGCCGTCGATATTCGCGATGGTTCCTACATCGACGGCCCGGACAGCAGATGCAACCAGGGAGCTTACACCAACGCCGCCAAGACGGAGGTCCTCGACGTCACTGCGGGAAGCGACGTTACGGTTAAGCTTGGCGTAGGCGCCACCATGCAGCACCCTGGTTAGAAGACTCTGTCGCCGCGTGATTCGCCTCGACGTTGTACGTTGACTAACATCTGCATCCAATCACTATAGGACCTGCTCTGTACTACATGTCGAAAGCCCCCGATGGCAGCGTCAAGGACTACGACGGCTCAGGTGACTGGTTCAAGATTGGCGAGACTGGCGTTTGCACCCAGAGTGACGACTTCACCAAAGACGCTTGGTGTACTTGGGACAAGAACACTCTTACCGCAACCATTCCCAAGGATACGCCTTCAGGGGAGTATCTCCTGCGCTTTGAGCACATCGGTAAGAATTTGATATTGGCTTCAAATTTGCGTACGTCATTTGTATCATGATAATCTAACAAACTATCCCAGGCGTCCACAAGTCGTTTGACCACGAGCCTGAGCACTTCGTGTCTTGCGTCCAGGTCAAGGTCACAGGAGGCGGCAACGGCATCCCTGGCCCTCTGGTCAAATTCCCTGGCGGGTACAAGTACAACGACCCTTACGTGAGCTTCAGCCTTTACAACGGATACAAGGCTTTCCCAATGCCTGGTCCTGCTGTGTGGTCCGGCGGATCGAGCGACGTCAACAACACCTCGGCAGCTGAGGCGGTCCCAAGCAGTCTGCCTTCGACGACCCTGATCACTGCTACTCGTTCTGCTACTCCCAGTGCAAAGGCTACTGCTGGATGCGCCAAGCTCCGTCGCTGATGAGCCTGTATACCGAGCCTGTATACCGGCAATGCGCGACATAGGCTCTGCCTCTGGTGTTACTTTCGCCAGATGGTTGACGAAGTATGTCGGGATAGAGGCTTCTGCTCTGTGTTGAGATGCTACTTGAGGCGTTGCCTAGTGTTGCTTTCATTCTATTGTACAACTTTGAGAACAAAACTTTACTTGCCATAACCAAAGAACTTTATATTATCACAATCCTGCTCAAGCTGCCCAGAACTGAGAATCAGATGAGCTAACCCCAGGTTTGACTTGTGGGCAAGATTCGTATTAGATGAGAAGTCAAGATATAAGTAATGGGCGGCCTACGCCATACAATTACTTTTCAATCCTGGACTCAGATTGCCTCGATGCTGCTTGTGGTCTCGTGGGAGTGAGATCCCAGTCCAAGCCACGGATAGTTGACCAAGCGGTCAACGATTCATGTATGTTGGAAAAGGGGTGCCGAGGTGGGGGTCACAGACGAGAACGGATGGAATAATGGTGACGACCGTGGAGGTGGGGAAGGCACCTCTAAGGTCTACCGCCAACCTAGGTCTTGGTCATCCTTCATCCTCCTTGAGATCTCACAGTGCAATTCCATTCTATAGAAAGAATTATTACCAAGGCACGGTATAGGTGAGTAGTGCGAGAGCTGAGCACATCCAATCATGGCTATGGCTCTTAAGCTAACTGTACTGATCCTTGAAAGCTTGAGGGAAATGGAGAGCTCACCGTCCCCAGACGGTAAAAGAGAGTTACCCCATGATCCCCAACGTATGACCCCCACATAGTCCCGCAAACATCCCTGGCCCCAGGTGTTCAAGAAATCCCATATTCCTTCTGTCCTAACGCCGGATCTGATGCCGGGGAGCTGCAAGGTGGGGGCGGTCCGACGAGAAAGTCGGCTGATATTTGGGGGGTTCAGGGATGACCAAGCAGCAAGGAACAAAGGCATCGTTTGAATGCTGCCATGCTAGGCCCTACCCCATGGGGTCGTTTCCCCGCGTTTGGATTGTTCTCCACGTTTACCTGGGGATAGGGGGAAAATGAAGGGAAGAAGATGATTGTGGGACGAGGAGAAGGAATGGGAGGTTGTTCAAAGGTTGACGGGTCCGGGGAAAAGGAGGTTAAGTTCAGGGCCTTCCCACGTCTTTTGACCGCCGCATGTTTGGCTTCTTATAGGCAGGTCTCCTTGTCTGTCACCTCGCCAACTTCCTCAATCCCAGTTGCTATCCGATACCTGAGCCACGAGAGGAGTAAGCTATACTCAGTCTTGGACCAATAAACAACCATGGATATGGACAAGACAGAGAGGTCTTCGGACCAGGTCGAGGACGTCAACGCCGATAAGCTAAGCCAGCATGGCGGCAACCTCATCATGCCAGCCAGCTTGGCGGCCTTGAGTCAGGAGGAGTATGAGAGAATTGGCAAGAAGGCGACGTTGAAAATGGACTTGGTGATCATGCCCATCATGGTCATCATGTACATCCGTGAGTGCAACCCGCGTACTCCAACCATCTACTCCCAGAGGACACGACTAACATATTTGATAATTAAAGTTAACTACCTCGACCGCCAGAACATTGCCAGCGCAAAGCTCGCCGACATCACCACAGACCTGAACCTGAGCCAAGTCGAGTACCAGACAACCGTCAGCATTCTGTTTGTTGGCTATAGTGAGAACTTCCAATCCGTTCAGTCGCAGAAACACTTTTCTCAAACCCTGGCTAACACGGAAGCTCTGCAGTTCTCATGCAAGTTCCCTCGAACATGATTGTCGGCAAAATCAAGTGGCCCGGGGCGTACATCTGCTGTGGCATGGCCGCATGGGGTGTTATTTCTTCCCTCATGGCCGTGGTGCACAACTACGAAGGCCTACTGATGGCGCGCTTCTTCCTTGGCTTCGTTGAGGCCATCTTCTTTCCTGGCGCACTATACTTCCTGTCCCTGTTCTAGTAAGCGATCCCAATCATGTGCTCTTGGTCCCGAGCGATGTTAATCTGTGTCTCTCTAGTAACCGAAAGCAATTTGCCTTGCGGACTGCCATCCTCTATTCTGGTTCCCAGCTGGGCAATGCGTTCGGCGGTCTCTTCGCCATCGCCATCCTGAACCTAGATGGTGCACACGGACTTGCAGGTTGGCGTTGGGTATGTGCCTGTTCTCTCTTCTTTATCTGAAGCCTTCTCGGTCTAATCATGTAAACCACAGCTCTTCCTCGTAGAGGGCGTCATCACCGTCGGCTTGGCCATTCCGTTCGCATGCATCCTGCCCAATTCCAACAAGAAGATTCCCACTCTGACCCAACTGGAGTGCGAATGGGTGCAGTACAACTTCGCTGCAGATCAGGGCCAGGAAGATAATTCCAGCGAAGTCACCGCTATGAAGGGTTTCATGATGGCCGTCACGGATCCAAAGACCTGGATGCTCATGGGAGTCCTTTACTCTGTAAGTCGCACACCTCACCTATCTGCCCCCTTCCATGCACCTTTCCGAAGAGGTTAGAGAAGTTTTTGGCACACCAGGAACAACCTTGCTAACTCACCCGGACCATCAGACCTACATCGTCGGCGCCGTCGCAAACTTCTTCCCCTCCGTCGTCGGCGGCCTCGGCTTCTCCCGCACAATGACCTACGCCCTCACCGCGCCCCCCTTCCTACTTTGCGTCATCACCATGCTCCTAAACGGCTTCCACTCAGACCGCAAACAAGAACGTTTCCTCCATATCGTCATCCCCCTATGCATCACCCTCGTCGCCAACATCATCGCCGTCTCAACAACCAACACGGCAGCACGCTACGTTGCCATGATGCTTCTCCCCGGTTCTTTCTACGCTGCCGCGGTGGTCGTGCTCTCTTGGATCACTGGTAGTCTAGCTCAACCTTCGGTCAAGCGTGCGAGTGCCATTGCCCTTATCAACGCCATGTGTAACACGCCGAATATCTGGGGTAGTTATCTGTATTATGGTGCGCCGAGATACGTTACGGCGTTTATTGTGAATATTGCGGCGACAGGTTTGGCGATTGGGTTCGCTACGGTGACAAGGATTTGGTTGAGAAGGTTGAATGCCAAGTTGGACCGGGGCGAGGACACGGGGAAGCATGGACCGACGCAGGCGCAGGTCGCTGGAGGGTTCAGATATCTCATTTGAAGCTTCTACTGGGGAATGCTTTTATGTTCAGCTAATAGTCTTGAGGAAGGATTTATTCGCTATGTTTAATGGTGTTGACACTGCCTTAAGCTTCTACAAGCTTTTGAAATTAAATCAAGTTCGAGACAATTGGCCATGAACTCCCTGCTCGTGCACTTATCCCCTCTACCAACAACTGAGCTACCTGTTCCATCGCGCCTCAGTATGGAGAATGATTGCCTAGCAAGCTGAGAGGTCACTTCTTATCTTTGACGTAGCAGAATTTCCCGCGATGCGCTTTTCTTCCACGGAACACAAGCAATGAGATCATTATTAAAGTGAATTAGATAGACTCTATGGTGAGAAGGCTCCTTGTAACGGAGAAACATAGTACTTGTCGGCGATCTCAGTTAACACATAGCCCTTGACCTAGTCTACAACTTCACCCTCCCTGTAACTTCCTTCTCAGCACGTTCGCTATTAACCATCTCAGGAACAATTTCTTCCACACTCGTGGCACCAGCGAGCGCCATATTAGTCTGTAGCTCATGTCTTAGGATCTGCACCAACCGCCTGACACCAGCCTCGCCATAGCCAGCCGTCATCGAGTACAAGAACGGCCGACCAATGCCAACAGCTGTGGCACCAAGAGCAATAGCCTTTAGGACATCCGTACCGCGTCTGATGCCACCGTCGATAAATATCTGGAATTTGACTCTTGTCTTAGGAAAGAGGAGGTGCGGCGCGTATCTACGAATCTCAAGGAGCGTCAGCATGGGAGCCTGCGCCGTATCCTGCGACCTTCCTCCGTGGTTCGATAGCACGATGCCATCCACGCCGTGCTCGTGAGCGATGACGGCGTCTTCAACAGACTGAATCCCCTTGATGACAATCGGCAACGAGGTCGTCTGCCTTATCCATGTCAAATCGGCCCACGTCAACCCCGCATTCAGTAACCCAGAAGCCGTTGTCTTCGCCACGCCGCTGGGTTCTGAAAGGGGTTCATCGCCAACAGTCAGCCTTTCATCGCGCTCACGTTTGCCGATGACTGGCGAATCGACCGTCACAAAGATCGCTTTGGCACCCAACCTCTCTGCCTTCCGAATTGTAGCTTGTGCCTTATCCCGGTTCCGATCAACGTACAGCTGAAAAAACAATGACTGTGCTTCGTTTACCCTGGCGCCGAAGATGGACTCGACCGAGGCGCTCGGCTTGGTGGGCATACAGTACATGATCCCTTCCTTGCCCGCAGCCCTCGAGAGAATCGTCTCGGCTTCGGAGTGGGCGTACTTGGCCTGTCCTGTGGGCGAAATGTAGAAAGGTAGTGAAGTAGGGAGGCTGAGGATATTGGTGGTTGTGGAGATGGAGTCGACGTTTCGGAGAATGCGCGGGCGGAGGGCGAGCTTGCGGAATATGCGGCGCGAGTCGTCAAGGCTCTGTTCGTCTTCTGCGCCTGAGTAGTAGTACGCCCAGCCCATGGGCGAGAGGTACTTCTCCGCGACCTTTTCGAAATCGTCGGCGTTGATGATGGCTCCTAAATGTGGGAAAGCAGGCTTTTGCTTTTCGGGAGCGTTCGATGAGGCATCTTGCGGCTCTGGTAGTGTTCCTGGGTCTACGGGACCCAGGCAGCGATCTGGTGATAGGGTCTCTGTGATGAGGTCTGGGTTGTGGATGGAGTCGTAGTCTTCTGTCGCGTCTCGGCCAGCGCATTTGATGATGAGTTTTGCGCCGCCTGGGTGCTCATCGAGGAAGTCTAGTCTAGTGTGAGCTAGCAATGTGAAGCTGGGTACCGGAGCATGTGCGTACTTGTGACGTCCCATACTTGGCCATGCACAACGACCCAGCACGAGTCTTTGGTGTTGTTCTTCGCAACCTCCGTACCGCTAACAACCATGGTGATGATCACTGATGATTATCAGTGATTTTGAGCGAGAATAAGGGAGCAAGATGCACGAGAGATTGGCATTGATAGCTTGGACAGATCCAACGTTTTCCACATCCCCAGAGGCACCTTGGAAAGTTGAGATAGACCCATCGTGCAGACCAAGCTTGGTCCTTTCACCCCGCGAAAGGCTCACGATGTCAAACATCTCCACTGACGGCACATTGACCCCACGAATCCACGCCAACCAGACCTAAGGTGGGGGTCATGTTGGCGTTGGTCCACGACCCCATGACGCCGCTTCTGGACCGATTCGAGACAAAGCTGCTCCCCCACTCAAGCCATAGCTTGCTTTTCGCAGTGGAATCCCCGCGAAAAAGTGGTGCGGCTCCGCCATGTTACGAAATCCAATTCGCTAGAAGGTGACGATGTTTGCGGCGTCGAGGATGTTAGTCGTCGGCAGTTGCCAGGTTTGGGCGGAGAAGTGTCCGGCGACGACGTTGGAGCTGGGGGTGAGGCTCGGGAGTTGTCCGGGGCCCCGGAATGGGGTCCCTGCTAGTAGCTGACTCGCTTCGTGCGGGGGACCAGCAGTGCATGGCGGGAATGATGATCGGAAATACGCGTTGGATTCAATGTTGGTTGTACGGATAGTTGTACGGAATGAGGGTGCAGTGTTAGCAGCAAGCTGGTACAGACTCCATGGGTGTGTGCGCCGGTGCAGTGCATGTTGGTTCCTCAGCTCCCTAGCCGTTCTGGGGCTAGTTCTTCTAATCCCTTAGCACCAAGTCCCGTGGACCATAGACATCAAAAACTTCCCGTTCCAATGGCGTTGGATTGCGCGTTGATGTGTGACATTGTTGGTCAATAAAGAAGAATTCTACCGTAACTAATCCTCTCCTTTCTCTAGGGTCAACAGTTTCTAGGGTGCCTTACTTCGCGAACACGGAGCATTTACTCTGGTTCAGTCGAGCCCCATACTACCTTATCAACGGGTGGCCCGGGCCTTTGGGAGCTTAATACCACCCAATCTAATTAGTCCGCGACGCGTCTGTCTCATTTAATATCAAATTTACGCGATCAAGCCAGAGCCTCTCCGCCTCATGATGCGGGATCTTTCTAACCGTCGCGCAAAAAAGGGCTAACTGAAATGGCCTTCAAACAAACCACACGTTCGTAAAACTCGACTACAAGTCCCATCATACAAAAAACATGGCTGAGATTCCAATGACTAGTCCATTTCGGGCCCAAACGCGCGCCGGGCGGTTCCCTCTCCCCACCATCACCCAAAAGACAGCGATTCCAACCCGAACCCGACCACAATGACTTGACGAGACATGGCGACACTGACGATGACCATCACGAAGCTAGCTCCGGCTCTCAAGCAGAGAAAGATGCAGAGAAAGATGCTGAGTCTTCCAATAACCCCCCACAAACGTCAGTAGCAGACAAAGTGAACGACATGATGAGAAAGTACACGTCGGGCATACCAAAGGAACTTTCCGGCGCCAAAAAGTACTACGTGGTATGGAATGGAACGGAAACCGGTATATTCGAAAGTTGGGGCAAATGTCAGCCGTTGGTTGAAAGATATCCAGGGGCAGGGCGTGAGTTGCACCTCGAACATTGCAAAAACCAGTTCCCCGGGCTGACTGCTTGAACGCAGACAAGAAAACAACAACGTACAAAGACGCTGTGAGACACCATTCTGCTTTGCGATACAAAGAGTATGTCTGATGAGTTTTGTCATAGGTGGATCTCCTGCGTAACAAGTTGACAGAAAAGCTCGAGGCAGAAGAGCCAAGGCCTGTACCTCAACCGCAACCTTGTACTGCATCGCAAATCACATATGAGAGCACACCTCGGTATACTCCTCCCACGCCTAACAGCCGTATACCTGGCAGTGCTGCGCCTAGCGATGCTGCAGCCATAGCTGCTGATGCGGGCGAGCCCCAAGCCCAGAGCTTCGACCCAGCACCAGACCCTTGCGAGCCTACTCTTTGCCAGGAACAACAAGCCGCCATGGATCTTGCCATGGCTGGACATAACCTTTTCATCACTGGGTGCGTAAGCAAGGTGGCCTCATGATGGTCCAATGCGTGGCGTCAATAACCCAATAATCATCTACTAACTTCATACGCACGTAGATCAGGCGGATGCGGCAAGTCTGTCCTCGTAAAGGCCTTGCACAAGATGTTCAAAGCGAAGGAACGAAAATTCCACCTAATCGCACCTACCGGCATCGCTTCTGTCAACATCGGTGGTAAAACGACGTGGAATTACGCGGGCTGGACACCGGATGATTTCTCAAAGCCATTCGGTAGACTAGTGGGAAAGTCGCGACACAATAAAAACAAGAATTGAATAGTTGGTACCCATGTTCTTATCATCGACGAAATCAGCATGGTCGAGAATCAGTTCTTTCAACGACTTGGTCAGGTCATGGGACGTATTCGACGCAAAGCAGCCCCGAATAACCCCCAGAGTCAGATGGAGGTTCGGGGCGCTTTTGGCGGCGTCCAGGTCATCGCTGTTGGGGATTTCTGTCAGCTGCCTCCGGTAGAGCCATTCAAGCATTGTCATGAATGTGGCTCGGAAATGCAACAGGAAAAGGTCGGGAACTCAGTCCGTTCATATTTCTGCCCTCAAGGAGTCAGCGATGAAGGGCCGCAGCAGAATACCCATGGGTATTTCATGGAGCACGACAAATGGGCCTTCAAGTCTTCTGAGTGGGTGAGGTGCAACTTCAAGTACGTCCACCTGAAGAAGGTTCATCGACAAACAGACGAGGACTTTGTCAGGATTCTTCAGACATGCCGGTTAGGCGAAGTTCTCAGCCAGAGAGATATCGACCTACTGCTAAATCATCCTGCCCAGGTTGAGAACGCAACTCGTTTGTTCAGTCATAGACTGCAAGCTCAAGAGCATAACGAATCTCAGCTCAAACAGCTCCAGAGCCCGTCCCGAAAATATTGGTGTCTCGATTATGCCAATACAAATAATAGCACAGATGAAGAACTTGATCGTCTGATCGATTACTACACGGCAAGTGCTGGCTACCTCATCCGTCGAGCTGTAACTAGGCGCGACTCTAAAATCTTAAAAGTAAGGGTTATTAACAAAGTACATTATCCAGAAGCGAGATTCGGACCCTAAAGCACCTCCTTCGCGGCAACCGTTGTCCCGCTTGGGCGACCATCGCTATGCCCAATTTCTAGAGTTGAAGCTCAATATGCCCGTCATCTTGCTTGCAAACGTAAGATCCTCCGCAAGCACTTTTTGCATAGAAACGTTTGTCGCTAGATTCACTAACCTCGTAAGTTGTATGCACCAGATTGATCTAGACAGCGGCCTGTGTAACGGCAGTCAGGGCAAAATCTGCGGCTTTGTCTCGCGCTCCAAGATTGAACGTCCCACGGAACCTAAGCGGAAAAAATACAAGAAGGATTTGTCAGCTTTCGATGCTGCTATGGAACGTTTTCGTCTGACGGAAATGTTCTCAACGGACGAAGGCGCGCCTGAATTATGTGAGTAGAAATCCGGCTCAGCTGCTGGGACAACCTCTTCATTTTTTCCTCATATCGGCTGACTCAATGAAGATCCCGAGGTCGAATTCAACAACGGCCAACGCCGCGTCATTGGCCCGGATTGCGCAGTAAACGAACTCGGCACCAAACACCCGCACATGCTCGTATCTCGGACACAGCTACCTCTCGCTCCAGGCTGGGCCATGACCATCCATAAGAGCCAGAGTCTGTCTCTTGACCGCTTAATCATTGACCTGGGCTCTGTCTTTGAAAAGGGCCAAGCATACGTAGCGCTCAGCCGTGCCCGATCTCTCCAAGGTCTGCAAATAGAAGGCACCGATGAATACATGCTTCAGTCGGGCTTGGAACTGGATTCCGAAGTGAGGAGGTTTCTGGAAGAGCTTGAGAGGAGCGCTGAGGGAAATTGAGCTCAGGTCAGGGATCCAAGCCAAGACTCTACCCAGAATTGATCGATCTTGGGCTTGTGCTCGAAGTGCGGCTGGAAGAAGGGGAAATGGCATTTATGGCATTGGTTGGAGTTGGCTCAACTGGTAGCTAAAGTAGTAGGCAGCCCCTGATGGTATACTATACTGTAGGGAAAGTCACAGGATACGGAACCGCGCCCGAAGTACTGCAGTATGGTTACACCTTCATTCCCACTGAAACGCTATGGAATAGCCCGCGAAGTCGTTCAACCTTGGCCTAGGAGATTAAGAGGAGTATCATCCTGGTGTCACTGCCCTGCCTGCCTTGTCATTCGAAATTCGATAAACGGTACCTGCGGCAGTGGATTGTTCCTATGCAGACTGATATTCTATCTGCCCAACCCGTGTCCGCTCCTAGATCTTTGCAGAAAATTCCAGGCCTCCCGTCTTCAACTTCTGTTCGAATTCGTCCTGCTTGTCAAGCATGTGCGTTCCAGCTGCCAGGCCCTTCATACCCTCAACGTCGTACAAGTTTTCCAAGGGCACATCCCGAACACACACCTTATGGTCCTCCTTCGTTCCTCCGCAGAACACCTCTATAACGTTCCCGTCGCCGTATTTCGAGTCACAGATAGCTGATATGGCAACTTTGACCACTTCGTCAACGCTTAGCATCAAGTCGTCGGTATGTACACGCTCTCGGCTGTAGGAGGCGTGGAAGATTGGGGTCTGCAGCCGGCTATCAGCACTCATTGTATGTGAACATCACGGATTTGAGGCAGGTTGAAACTTACATCGACTACTCCCGGACAGATTGCGGCGTTTCTAATGCCAGCAATCTTATTCAAAGAGCCAAGGGACTTGCACATGCTGACAACGGCTGCCTTGCTTGAGTAGTAGAATGGCGTAAGGAGGCCGTGAACATAGCCCGCCATACTGGCGACCCAGAGAATATTGCCTGCAAGATGTCGGTTTTCGGGACGCAACCAGTATTCGATGGCTATCTGGGCAAGTCTGACAGGGGCAATGGTGTTGATGGCGTAGGCTTGGTACATGCCGATTTTGGCATCGGCTTGATCTCGGGACAGAGGCGAGATCCCAGGCGGGTTCCAAAAGTCGCTGGACGGGGGATCATAGATTCCGGCCCCGTTGATGAGTAGATTGACTCGCGCATATGTCTCGAGTGCGGTGTCCCACAGTTTATTGATCTGAGACCAGTCGGTGAGGTCTGCCTGATGGAAGATAGCCGACGCAGTGCCAGGCTTGGTTGGGGGATGGAGGTATTTCTTGAGTGTATCTTCGGCCTCGGGACGTAGTCTCAAATCCGCCATGACGACTGAACAACCCGACTCTAGAAGGGCCCTGGTCAGCGCATGGTTGATACCTGAACTCTGTTAGTATTGGTAACTTCGAAAAGGGGGTAAGGATGCCAACCTGATCCAGCACCAGTCACAAGCGCGACTTTGCCATTCACTTCCCACGCGGTCATTTTTGGTATATTCTACTGCTGTAAGTCAAGGTGCTTTTCGAGAAGCGATGCTCAAATCGTCAGAAAGAAAGGAGAGAGGAGAAAGAGGAGATGGAAGCCATCCTTCTGGGTTTGTGCACTCGTGATCTGGTTTAAGCGTCACGTCACTCTGTTTCATCCGGACTGCGACCCGTCCGTTTACCGAGTTGATGCCGATGCATGTCTATCCATTTCAGTCGACCGCTCTGAGATGCGTTCACTTGGCGGGGTTGGGCCGAAAAGTTGGTCCGACATTGGTCCGCGGTGTGCCAAGTGAGAGGCACAGCGGTTGGAGCGGCTTCTTGAGCACATCAACAGTTGAAAGGGGCAACATCAGCGCATTATCACCATCTATGATCAGTTGGTGTCTTTTTATGCATTATCTACGCTCAGTGAGTCGTCTTCGATTACTTACGAGAAGTACTTTTTATTTAGTGTGGCCTGTTGTGGTGGTCAAGAGTCCATACTTGATGTAGCCACAAGAGTATCTATATCCGAAGGACAGCCATGGTGCAAGTGCCGACTTCTACAGATTTCAGAGAGAATGCGAGACATGCTTGTTCTGAAGGACAAAGATTATCACTGGTTCTCTCCAAGCGCATGGCAGGGCTCTAGGGCGACAGAATCCGCTGAAATACATCCTTCGTGACGGCATGGAAGTCCTCCTTGCTCAGATCAAAACGGCCGAGATCCTCAGTCTTGCTGTTGAAATCACCCCCCTCGCCCTCTTTGTAATGTAGCGGGAAGAACTTCGCAAGCACCACAGCATGTGCGTCATCCCCACTCATCGCATTAGCTCTCTCAAGAACATCATCCACGGCCTCCTCGCGAATGTCCCAATCGGTCTCAGATGTTCCAGTCGCCAGCATGATGCTGCTCAGTACCTCTCTCTGAGTGACGTGGAAGGAAGTAGTGTAGAAGCATTTGTTGCGATAGCGTGCAAGTTCCACATCTGGCATAGCCACAACCTCGGCAGTAACCGCTCCAGCTCGGGCCAGCGTAGTGTAATTCATCTTTGTACGCCCCCCTTTCCAAAGCGTAACCTTGAGTGTTTTGGCGTCGATACCAAAGACATCGCCCATAGGCAGGCAGAAATCGTACCAAGGGTTGGTAATGACACCGATCCAAGAACCAACTCCTAGCTTTTCGATGAGTTCTCGATGTTTGCGTTTATCAGCGATCTCAGGTAGCTCTTCGATGAGCTTTCCTTCTGGATCACTACCAAACTCGGTCGGAAGGATATACCGGACATTGGCCTTTGCGGCTGCGCGGATGAAGACGTCGCTGAGGCCCACAGCCGGGATGCCAAGTTGCAAGACCAAGACCTCTTGACCATCCAAGACAGACGTGAGAGCAGCTTCGTCATCGAAGGCAACTCTTTTGACGGTGACGCTGTCAGCGAATTCAGAGGTGGATTCGTTCCGGACAATGACGGTGATGTCGTGGATACCATGAGAGAGCAGTGCCGTCAGGGTGCGTTGCCCAAGGTTACCACTGGCGCCAACTAAGGCAATCTTACGATCTTGTCGCACAGGTGACATGGCTGTGAATGGAATATAGATTGAGGAGAATAAAGTTAGTCTAAATATTGACCAAGGGCTGATGATGGTTCAGTTTCAGTGTGGTGAGCTGTTAGCATGCATATGCTGAGCGGAGGACCACTCACTTAAATACTTGTTCGACGTACTTAACTGACAAACCAAAGGAAGTGGAACATTGCGTTATCACCTTTGCAACACTGTAAGCTAAGCACTGTTCACATATGATTTCCCAAGACGACTACAAATTACATGTATTCAGTGCCATTAGACTAAACTCTAGGATTTTCAAAACCGAATGAACCAATCAGAGGGTTCAGGAGATAGCTAGTATAGTGACGATGATGATTAGAAATCGTAATTTACTTAGTTCAAAGCTTGATTGGCTCGTTCGGCTTTTGTTCAAATCTTACATGACTTACCGCACCAGGACCCATAGCAAACAAAGGGGCGTTCCGAACTTCCAGTTACATCATCACGTCAGGTGGAATAGACTAGAGCGCAAGTCATCGCACCTGTGTCAACAGAACCAGAGCTCTCCTGCCTTAATATTGCCGGAATTGGTGAGAAAGCCTGTCTTTGGTCGCCTGATGTGATCATTCCATGGCACGAAAAGGTTCCAAGAAGACCAAGACCGGGTGCTTGACTTGCAAGTATGCATAGATCGAAATGCCTCGCAGAGGCCTCAGGCGAATCCTTTTGTACTAATTCTCGTAGGATTCGCAAGATCAAGTGCGACGAAACCAAGCCTTCTTGCCGACGCTGCAATGACACAGGCCCGAAAGTGCGACGGCTACTTGGCACAGGCATCGGTCGAGTTCAAGATTCATGCAGCCCTGCGACATCATGGATCAGACTCCGCAAGTGAGCGAAGGTCGCTACAATATTTCTATGAATACGCTGCGCCTCGTCTATCTGGCCCTAGGAAGCCTGCTTTTTGGACGTACTTTGTCATGCAGCTCAGCCAATCTGAGCCAATAGTGAAATATTCGCTCTTAGCAATCAGTCACCTATACGAGGCTCGCGAGATGCGGGCAATCCCATCCACTAAACCTTTGCTTGCATTACAGTACTATAATGCGGCAATCAAAGGTGTGAAGGCTGTGCAAGATCAGTCTTTAGTCCTGATTGTATGCGTCTTGTTTACATGTATCGAGCTGCTGCAGTCGAATAACGAGACCGCGATTCGGCATTGCAAACACGGCAACCAAATCTTAGAGACTTATGGCAGCGACAAACCCTGGATACGAGATCACATCGTACCAGTCTTTCGACGATTGAGCGTCCTTCCGCTGCTCCTTGGAAGGCCTCCTGCGGACTCAGCACTCACACATGTCCTAAGATATGCGGTACCAACGAGATTTGAAAACGTGGAGGATGCACACTCGATGATCGACGAAATTTGCCGACGATTAATGATTTTACAACATTGGAAACGGAAAGGAGCTGGTTTCGATCAGGTGAAGGAGCGGAACAGCACCGGTTCTCTGTTGCAGCAATGCAGAGAATTGATGGATGGCCTCGACATTGACTCAACATCTCAGCCAAATTGTGCTAGCGAAGGTCCGCAAGCACTGATGCGTATGCGCTTCCACACTTGTCAAGTTTGCTTCGATATGCTGTTCCCAGTAGATCATGGGGGTAACGATGAAAGACACATACACGGCTTCCGCGAGATGATTGCATTGGCTTCTGAATTTAGTAATATGCGGACCATACGGCTACCACGATTTGTTTTCGAACTTGCATTCTCACCTGTGCTGTTCTTTGTTGTCACAGAGTGCAAGTGCTTAGAAGTGCGGCTTTCAGCTCTCCGTCTGATAAAGGTACTAGGAGCAGAAAGAGAGGGCCTCTTCGAAAGCCAAAACTTGTACGCTCTGGGGCGCCGAAAAGTCCAAGCAGAACATGGTGTGATTTTGGATGACTTCGACTACCCTCAAGATTTGGTTTTGAATTCG